TGTTTGGGCCAAATGGCCAACGGTGCACATGACATGCCGCACTGAATTGCATGCCGTGAAACTTGCAGGTTTACCTTGGGATTCCTTTGGCTCTGGACGGATTCCGGTTTCCTTACCCAAGAAGCTGCTGGTTGAACATAGGATTGCGCTTTTTGAGTGCTATTTGGGGGATGCCCCTTTTCTGACACACAGGCACACATACGCACATCAAGTGCAACTTTTACGAGAAGTTTCCCACACCGGGAATTGGACCCGCAAGAACCTGCATCATGACTCCGGCTCGCTTCAGCAAAGCCTGGATCGGGTGGAATTGTTCGCCACGCAGACGCCATGTGTGCCGAAATGACATTAAATTTTGGGCGAGTAACCGCTTGGTAATTTGGTGAGCGTACCCACTGTCACATGAGTGTGCGTGTGTGTTTCCCTATGTGGATGGATGGTTTCACCACATTTCGCCCGGATCCATTTTCTGGACACCTAGTGGGAGTCTCTCCAGATTGTTGGAGTCAGAGTCGGAGCGAGTCTTAAACCCTACAAAATATGCCATGGGAACACAAACCCCCTGATTTTGGAAGGTTCCGCGTGACAAAACACCTCTTGGGAATACGTTGTCTTGTTCCCCAAAGTGTCCAATTGAAGCACTCACAAAACCAGGGGGCTCTGCCGCATGGAGATACCACGCCTAGTGTCGAAAACTTGTCTCTACCCATCTGTGATTTGTCGATGGGCGGGCACATGCCCTCCGGAAAATGGGGAGCAAAACGGCGAAGCCAGGTGAAACAAGCCCGCAAGACAAACCCTTTGTCTTGCCGGCCGAATCGGATCCAAAGAACCCAAGAAAAGAAACTGGGCAAAACGCCTCGGTTTTCGGACCTTATACAGCGCTTGCGCTGGCGCCAAAGCGCTCGGCGGTCGGCCGCAGGATCCGCGAGGGGATCTCTGAGAGGCTGGTGCAGCCCGCGAGCCTGCGAGTCGACATGGCTCGAGGCTCCAAAGAGAGGGGCGTCCAAAGCCTGACTTTTCCTTTCCAACCACCTCAAAAAAATGACACGTCAAGAGTGCCCAAAACCCAACTGACTTTGGGCAGGTAGACCACCTAACATAGGGGGCTGTGGTGCTGCTCGGATTGAAGACTGCTGGTTTGAGTGGCGGGCTTCGTCCAAACCGACCAGAAGGTGTTTGACTTCTCAGTGAGGCAGGGTTCCCTATATTCCCACCTACAAAAATCACCTCGCGGAATGAAGCTCACGTCAAATGGACCAACAGAGATTTCCAAGGGGCCCGTCATAGACCTTTTAGGCGCTGGTCCCTATTAGGCTCTCTGGGACCCTTTTGGGATCGAGGGCCCCCATTTTGGGGAGAAAACACTGCTGCAGGGAGCGTCTCAAACGAGGGGAAAACCCACATTCAGGTGGTAAGGAGGGATCTTATGGTGGATGTTCTTTCATGGAACACCAAAGGGAATTATCTTTGTTCCGTTTGCAGGAGTCCCTAAAAAAAGGTGCTTCCTAAAAATGGATTACCAGAGCTGATTTCGGGTTGGTGTTTTTTCAGGAGAGCACGCGGGACATTAGCCAGGGACCGGGCCAGCCCTTCCGGAAATGTCCTCTGCCTTTTGGCGGCCCAAAAAAAGGTACAGGTTGAGACTTGTCGCCTTTTAAAAGGACTGGCCCTTCGATCACTCGCCCCTCATTTTCGGGAGACATGTTTCATGTTTTGAGCATGGCGTTTTGGTTGCTCCACGAGAAGCCAGTTGTTTCCACTACACAAAGGTTGGAGTGGAAGTCAAACTCCCCCGATGTTGATGCTCAGGACTTGAACCCCGCTGGGAGAATTTCGGAGAGTGGGGTGTGCCAACTTCTCGTGTCGTTCTGAAGGGAAAGCCTTTGGGTTCAAGGGAAATCAAACCAACGATAGAAGAAAGCTGATTCTTGCCCCTCCCCCCCCCCCTGCCACAAAGCTCGGACAAAACGACTCCGCATGCGCCATGTTGAAAAAGACAGCTTCACGAGGTATGGAAGAAAGTGCTGTCACGGCTCCCGGAGAAGGAATTAAAATCTCCCAAGCTATCTAAACATCCCTATCCCCTACTTGGGGCGCACCATAGGCATGGTGAAGCCCAAATCACGACGCCCATCGCCGAAGCGGTGCCTCATAGTTGTTTCAAGCTCATCGTAAAGCAGCCGCAGCATTCCTTTGCTTTCTCTCCTTCTGTTTCTCACTTTCCCTCTTTCTCGCTTCTCAATTCTACTTCTCTCTTTTCTCCCCTCCTTCCCTTCCACAACTCCTCTGCGTCTTCTCTCTTCTCTTGTCAGCTTCCCTCGAGTTGGTGGTCTGGATTGTTGTTTTGGAGGTGTTCCGGGGTGGTTTCCTATTTACCCACAAGAATGGGCTTCACATCCAAACCCAAGCAACCAATTCAAACCACCAAAGGGCTTGATCTCTCTCCCCAAACCCCCTTGGCGCCATGCGTGAAACTCCCTGCTCACCGCCAACCGCCAGGGCGTACACAGCTGGGCCTCAGAAAGCCAGAGTCGAGAAGGGTTGCTTGTGGCTGACATTTGGCGAATTCTCGCGAGTCCCGTGGATCTTGTGGCTGAAACTTAGTGTCCTGATCTCTCTCTCTCTCAGTCCTCACTTGGCTTGTTCTCCAGGTGTCCAAAGACAGTCCGGTACCCCAAGACATGGGACGATTCTAGCTCATCCTCGGACTTTTTGTGGGAGGTCAGTGGTTTGACGCCAGACGTTGGTTTTGTGTATTCTTCAGTTGGGGCGGTGTATGGTCGGGATGTGTCGGAATATGGATTCGGAGCCCCAAAACCATGGGTTCCTTTTGGTTTCCTTGTAAAGCAATTTGCAAACCCCTCAAACTACCCGGTAACATTCGATATGGCCAACCAAATTTATGAGCAGCTTCCAATTCCTCTGCACCGCCCGGGCCCGCAGGTACCCGCAAACCTCAAAAAGAGGATCCGGAATACCGGACTCGCTCGCTTCCTGTGGGCCCGGCGCGCAAACATGACGGCGCTGGCTCCCAGCCTCGCTCGAGGTAGATTTAAAAAAAAAAAAAAAAAAAAAAAAACGGGGGAACCAGCCCAATTTGAGTCAGAGGCGAACATGATACCCGCAACAAGAAACGGGAAATCTGGAGCAATTCGTTCTTTTGAGATTTGATGGTTTTTGTTGGTTACCTCTTGCAGTGGTCATTGACAAAAAAAAACAGCCTGAGTATTGCACCATTGGAAGAGATCCCACTTTCAAGGGAGGCACCCTCGAGCTATTCGTTGATATCGCCCGGGGAATTCTCATGTTAAAGGGTAGTTTGGGGGCCCGGATTTACACCGTTGCTTCAACTGTGCAAGATCAGCTTCCGCCCATATGGCCGAAATGTGTTCGCCTTTTTCTTACTTGGCACTGGAGAACCACACGGCGGTCAACTTGCGGGTCTCCAGGTTCTATTGGACTTGCTGGTGCTGAGCAGGGAATGAGGGGATGACCCTTGAGGGAAGCCACAAGGGATGGTTTATAGGGGTCATTCCGACATCTGCCTATCGCACCCGCAAGTGGATGATCCACGCTCGGTGAGCTTTTGATCCAATCGAGCTGCCCTAAGGCTTTGAAGACGTCGGTGCCACGCCGGATGCCCCCGTCGATGAAGATGGGGATCTGGCGCTCGCTCCGAGTTTTTGGCGCCCGACCCTAAAACACCAAACAGCTGGGCCCTCAAACTACCCATAAATTGCACATATCCCCATCAATTTGCTTCAATATCCCATGTTCAATTAAGGATAGTTTGAGGGTCCAGGTATATGATGTAGCTGTTAGCCTCCCCGTCGCAATTGGCAGTGCATGCGAGCAGTTTTAGTTGAACTGCTCATGCTTCGGCTCTCACATGATTTTGGCCACCAAAACGGCAATATGACGCTGGCTTTGGCAACATGGCTCTTAACTGTTTATGTAGGCCTGACCATAAACACCAAAAAGCCAGGCAGTAGAACCACCTTGCAAAATTGCTGATGGGAGTTTTGGGCGCTGAATTCAACTTGGCATGTCTGTGAGGTAATGTTGAACGACCTTGCCCCACGCGAATGTGGCTGTCAACTTTCATCCGCGCAACTTCCAAAATGATTGGCATGACACAGCCCAACCATGTACAAGCGGTGTAAAAGGAATCCGGATCACTTCTGGAGGAAACACCTGTTGATCCGCCCCCCAGGTTCATGAATCCAGTGTCAAAAGCTTGATTCTGGCAACTTTAGGTTTGTCTCAAAAAACGAATCTACCCCATTGGGGGGCGACACACCTCATTTTAGCTGCCTTTGACTTCCTTTTGGTTTGAAGTCGGTTTGATTTTGGTGTCCTTTTGGTTTCCTGTTGGTTTCCTTTTTTAGTTTTCCCCTTGTTCCCCCTGAAAGCATCACTGCTCAGGACATTACCTTGGGCCAAGAAAGTGATGGTTCAACCAATGGGGCTTCGGCGTCTCCCCCCACACGAACCGGCCGCTGGCCGACCGCCGACTGCCTGGCCCTTGACCTCTTCCGCGATCCAGGGCAAGACGTCGATGGTGGCGGGGGTGCTATCCAGCTGCCGGCCTGGACAAGCGTTTGGAGCGGCGAGAAGGCTTTGGAAGCTGGTGCGAGAGGTAGGGAATGGGGTTCAAGGGAACCCAGTAGTTCCCTTAAAGGAAACCACAATGGATGGTTTATAAGGGTTTTTATATGGGATTTCCAGAATATGTCTGGGGTTCCTTGCCCCTGTCAAAAGAAAGGTGTCCCAGCTTGGATCATCCTTAAACAGTGGTTCTATGAGCCCCCATTGTTGTAATGGATTTCTTGCTGCTGCGATAGGCAGGGAATGACCCAGGGTGTTGGGAAGGAACCCAGGCTTTTGTCCCCTAGGAAACCACCAGTTGGATGGTCTTTTGTTTGGGTCATTCCACTTCTCGTTCCCTGAGAACCAGCAAGATTTGGAAGCACCAGAATATGGTGTGAAACAGAGATGAAACCGAAATGACTGACCTGTAAAAATTTGGAAGCACCAAATATGGTGGGTGAAATATGGTGGCTTCCCGTTTCGCCTGCCCATTCGTCAGCAACCAGCCTCGGATGTTGTACATGTGTTGTTTTTTCTTCGGGTGTCGCCGGGCGGTCTTGTCCCTACGGTTTGGGAAATTTGGGTTGTGCGATTGAACTCCTTTCTAAAACATGCTGAAGCCACGACTGTTCAAACGACCTCGGATTGTCTCGGAGTGGCATCCATTCAAAGGCAAAGGAATCTGAGAGGCAAACCCGGTTTAGAGTACCCAGACTGAAGGGGGACTTACATCGTGGCTTTGGGTTGTAGCCATGGTTCCTGATGTATCACCTGCCCCTTTGTTTTTTAGTATTCTGAATCAGCCGAAATATGCGAGGGTTGCACAAAAGGCGAAGTGCCATTTTGGGTCTGTGCCCCCTTGCCGTCCTTTTTAGAACGGGTCTCAAAGGGATCCTGATTTCGGGCAACAAATGGACATGGAAATGAACACAACTTCTACTGCGAAGATTCATTTGGTTTGCAAAGTATGACTGCAACGTGTGATTCTTACTTTTATTGCCTTAACGTGAATTGCGGGTAAGGGACTTTCTGCACGATTTTTCTCAGTGCACGCTACACGGACATGCTTGACACCCGATTCCTCCAGCTTGAGACTGTTCCAGCCCGATGCGAAACGAAGATTCCCGAGCCTCCGTGGTTCGAAACGACCTCACCGCGGTGCGTCTCTACTCTTGGGGAAGCATGGGGGCAAAACTGATGCCACAAACCATGGGTGGAGATTTAGTCCAAGTGTTTGTAAATGCTGTGTTTTACAGCATGTTCTGGTAGAATCCACGTGTTTTACACCAGAACCGTCAACGTCCGCAAGCATCGTTTGCAACACCCTTTGCAAACCAAATGGATACGGTGCGCAAACCTCCAAACCACCAATCTAAACCATCAGACCTCGGGCAGCTGATGTAGCTTGTAAGATGGTTCGTGGGTGGATCCATGAAGCAACCTGAAAGGTTTGGGTTCCTCAGGTATGGGCGGTGCTCCCCATTCCGCTTTTTGACTACCCCAAGGTCGCAAATACCAAACGGTTGATGCCCCAAGAAAAAAGTGCTGGGTCTCTTTGTCTACCTCCCTGTGTTGCCACCCCCCAAGCATTCCTTGTTCTTTGCTGGAAAACACGTCCTGGTGCAAAAATGGAACCTCTGGGCCCCCGGATGTGTCAACCTTCAATGCAGTCGGCGTCTTGGGACTCGCGCGATGGCATCAGCTCCCGCTTCAATGGCGCAGCGCGCGTCCAGCGGGTGCAGCACGCCCTGCACACAAAAACGGGCACTGGTCAAAATGTTTGTTCAGGGGAAACCCTGTTCAAAATGGTTCCTTGTTTCGAAACCCTGCTGCTCCACGTTTTTGTTTGTGGGGAATCTCGCGGCCTTTGTTTTTGGAAACTGGGGAACCTCGCTTTTCGAGGCAGTTTTAAGGGAAACTCCACTGTTCTCATGGTAGATGCTGAGAGGAAACCCTGCTTTTCGAGGTGATTGGTTCAGGGAAACCCTGCTGTTCAAGGAAGCGCCAGAGCTGCTTTTCAAGGTGTTTAGGCGGACACCGCGCTTTTCACGCAAATGTGTTGGAGTTGTTGGGAAGCCTTACTTTTGCACCGGGTTGAAAAGGTCATAGCACCCAAAACCCATTTCGCAGTCGGTTCTTGTGCCACACTTCATGCAAACACCCAGGACATGTGCCCAAAAACAGGACAACTGCGCGCGCTGAGTCGATGCGCCGAGGCATCATGAACGACAAGCAATAGCTTCATCGGCCAGGGACTCGTTCTACGCCAGTAGGTAGCTTCCACGCAAGGGGGGCTGGGTGGGCGGCACAAATCCGGGGTGCCGCGAGGAAACTTCACCTTCCTGAGCCAAGGGCACCGGCCCCATTGCATCAGCAAGAGGGACTTCAGCCAGCTTTCGCGATGCAGAATTTCTTGACCATCTCCAAACCCCGAACTAAGGGATCAATGAAGAGGACCTGCACCATGGGGGCGCTCGCCAAACGGCACCTTAGCCTTGGCAGGACGCCCGCCTTGGCGATCACGGGCAAATTGCAGATGGATTTCAACCATCTGATGATGCCCCAGTCCAGGGTAAGGTCCTGGCACGCACAGCAAAGGCTAATGCTTTTAAACTCTTTGAATAAGCACGCTGCTTGTGAAAACTGATCAAATTTGGACCACAAGAAATGGTTGCATGTTTCACAGGGTTCCCTATTCCCCTTTTTGAACATCCTGAGAGATGTCAACAAAACGAGGGGACCGTAGTTGCATGAGTCCAAATATGGATGTGAACCGCGTAGGTTGTGCGTATCCTGTTGCTTTCCCTTTGAACCAACCAGAAAAGAATACACGTTCAAGAAACGAATAAACTTTGTTATGTTTCTATTTGTTTTTGACAACAAGTCTCCTCTTCATTTTGCCTTTCCAACAGAGGGTCCCCAAAGAAAGACGTTCCCAAATAATTTCCAGAGGGATGGTAAAAAGAAAGTCTGACTGAATGCAGGTATACCTAGATAGCCAAGATAGCCAAGTTGCTGCCCTAAATTGGGACAAACATTTCGCAAATCAGGAACCCCACTTCCCCTGTAGTTCCCCAGTGAAATTTACGGCGTCCCCGTCCCGAACCCCAGATCCTGACAGTTTTCTGACCCAACCTCACATGGCTCAGAAACCACGTCAGACGTACGCGCCGTCCTTTTGGGCCTCAAACTCTACGAGCCTCAGTTGGCCACGCTTCGACTCGCATCTCCAAAAATATGTGATAGTAGGCAACCCTTGTGACTAGCATGAGGGGCTGAATGCGTACACACACTAAACTTGAAAGGAGTACCCAACAACCCCATTCTAACAATTTCGCCCAATATGTGTTGTTTATTTGTCACTTGAATGGGGATTCCCTTGATATACGACATGACCCCAAAGCAAAACAAATTTCCGCAGTGACTCTCTGGGTTCTTAAGCCAGCCAGCACGCCAACACATGAGCACGCTTGCGCACACATAAGCACACACGAGCACGCATGAGCAAGAATGAGCACGCGTACGCAAACGCGCACCCCCACACGCACACACACACACACACACACACACACACTTGTACGATCCATCTAATGGATTAGCAAGTTCGAAATGGGCAATGCAGGTACAATGGGTTTATCAGACCCAGAGCTCTATGGGCCATCTCTGCCCCCCTGCCGTGCGAACGGTGGATTTTGTGGAGCATACTCTTTGTAATCAGGGGGTTCACACATACCCACACATACCCTCCCCTCAAACAAAGTTTGGTAGAACACAGCACGCCCACTCCTTGGCTCCAAGGGTGAAACCTGGAGTCAACCCGTTACTGGTGGATTCCATTACTGGTGGATTCCAGGGTTGTATCTGAAACTGCCACTTTTGGAGGTCCAAAAAGGCTGGAAACTTGCGACCACCTCCCCTGCGAAAACAACATAGCCTCCCCCCCCAAAGAACAAAAGAGAAGAACAACCGCACATATGAGAACAAGACCGGTGTGTTCCATCAGTTCCGCTGCCACTTTCGGTAGCCACCGAATGATGGCCCGACCCTTTGGCCTCCCTCGCGTCGCAAGCAAAATCCAAGAGGCTGCTGGTTCACGACATGCCCCAGCATCTGGATGTTCGGTAGCTGCCCCATGGCGTCCGACACCGCAAAGCCTCGGTCAGTCGGCGACTCACTAGGTGAGTCGCATGGCTCTCACGAGCCGTTGACGCGGCAGTGCTTTTTGTTTCTTCTTTCGGAGAAGACATCCCAAGTGGGCACCCTGGGTTGATGATGGGCAATTCCTCAGTGGACTCTTCTATTCCCAGGTTGGTATTGACGTATACATGCAATCCGGGTATATAGTCGGAGGAATTCCTCTGAAAAAAATATCTCTCTCCCCAAAAAGTAACAGAGCCCTCATTGATCCTTGGTTTCTAGTCCTCAGTTGATTCCGATTCATGGGTTCATAAATCATTCTGTTTTATTCAATCCTAGGTGTCCATGATTTCATTGATCCTGCGAACTTCTTGGGTTTATTGATTCATCCTTGGTAGAACCATGAAGCTCCATCAAGCTACCCTTAGTTGAAACAGTCCTCTCATTTCACCCAATATCCAGCTTGCTGCGGGTAGTGGAGGGTCAAGCCCTCTGTTTCTTCACCATAGGCACAAGTGGTGTGAAGGGAAACAAGCCCAGTTTTTGACGTTGATCACCTCCACAAGCGGAAACAACATTCCCCCCCTCCCTTTTTGTCAGCTGGGTATGTGCGGAACCCCCAAAATGGCGGCGATCCTTGTGGCTTCCCTGCAAAACCACCGGAACAAAGTACCCCTCAAAAGAAAAAACAAATGGGTTGCGGTTTGTTTTCCAATAGGGATGATGGATTAGGATTGGGCAACACTCTATATATTGTAAAGCGCCAAGTGGACTTAACTCCAAGAAACACCCTACTGAGCCTCCACAAAAGCAAGTCCAAAGAATCGGATGAGAGGTCGGATCACGTGGCTCCAATTTCGCAAGTAACTGTGACTGAATCAGCGCCCAAAACTGATTGGCCTTTGGTTCTACTGACATGGTTCTACGGATTTATAGGCCTTACTCCAAACCCAAGCAAACCAAGTGGAACCGCCTACTGTGGCAATCAACATGTGTCTTTCGCTCGTGCCCTCATGTTTCTAGTCTTCCTCTCGGTTCCCCTAAAATAGAACACCCCAAAAACAAATGTACCCACCTTTAAACAAAAAAAAACAAACATGAGGTTGCCTTGGGGTTCCCACAAAGGGTACCCACCGAAAAACGGATACCACGAAGGGCACCCGATGCGAAGCTTTCGGCTTTGGATGCGCTGGCGAGCCACCGCTCCGGATGTCCCGCTCGCGCCGGCCAGTGCAGGGTGCATCCACCTCGAAGCCATGGCACCGGCCACCGGCAGATGTCCATAACGCCCCCCTCCCCCCCAAACAAAAACATGAAAAAAGCGGCTTTGTGTTGCTTCTTCTTCTTTTTTCGGGGTAGCATGTCAATCCCTGGGGATCTTGGAAAACCCGATTTTTCAAAGTATGCAAGACATAAATTAGTTGGTGTGAAATACATGCGTTTTCTGATTTAAGGGATTTCGGAAAAACTAACGGTCTTATTGATCATACGAGTAAATCAAACCCATGCGCTATAAGTTGGCAAATGTTGTAAAGCATCTGAGAAATGTTGCCAAGAACAAAATCCACTTCGCGCCAGTTGGCACCAGTCGGGATTGGTGGTGGGGGACACCCGAAGATGGTAGATGTCCTCTCGATTCTCAGCCAACCAAGGGAAACATCGCCAAAGGAATCTTACAGGACAATACACTCAATACACCGATGAGTTAATGACAGGGCTGTGAGTCTTTCTTGCCAAAAAAAAGTTCTGAGAGAAGTTGTAGCTCCCTAACAACACATATTTTGTTTCCCCCCCCATCCCCAACAAAAGCAGGTGAGAAGCTATAGTTCCCGGAGAAAGCATACAATCAAGTTCCCCGACCCTCCCCCTCTTCCGTACTGTGGATGGGCAAAATCCTGCACCACTGAAAACCATTCTTTGTTGGCATTTCCCGGGGAATCGAATCGGTCCAGGGTTTCTGAACGGTGCGATATGGATCTCGCAACCATCCACGGTGGCTTCCCGCGCTCTGGGATCCCGGGCCGTGAGGCAGAGGGCTTTGTACCCCAGCCTCTCAGCCTTCTTCACGATGAGCTGCGCGAGTCAGTCCAAAGGGAGGCGCTGGTCTCGCCAGCTTCGTTTAAAGAAACTCTAGGGAGTATGAGCTACTGGTTGTCAATGTGGGATCTTCTCTTCAACCCCATCTGGGATCCAGGGCTAGTTGTGCGTCTGAATTTTCTGCTTGTAAGTGATTTAGAAACCTTCAGCATCCTTTTCACCTGGCTTGTTTCCACTTGGGGTTGGGTTTTTGTTCAACTGGTGTTTTCGTTTCTTGTGGCTTCCTTTTGCACATGAGGCTTCGCAAAATAGCGGTCCCCTCTATTTTGGTTGGTTTAAGTTTGGCTGCCCCTGGAATATGTCCTTACAGGGATCTGAGTCAAAACAAGAAAGGCTCTCAAAAAGGGAGACGTTCCCCATCGAGGAAAAAAAAACAAAAAACAAACAGATCAGTGCCCAGACCCACAGCTTTGGACCAAAATGACTCAAGGGTCCTCATTCAAGGGAAACCACCCCTAGCCGCACGCAGGAAATATCCGAAGCCAACAAATGAAAACATTGAAACGGAAGATTCACCCGGTCAATGTTGAGCACTTGCTGCGGCCTCTGTGATATCTCTGCGCTTGAACACGTAGAGCCTCGGCGAAATGGCACGCACCGTGAGTTCGTCGTCGGGCATTTCCGGGCGCATTGCACGGAGATGGAAAGAAGTTCCTTCTATCACATGGCTGAATTGAGTCAAGCAGCTGGAACATCAGGCCTGGCAGAGCATCGTGCAAAACTCTTCTCCAATGTCTTGGCGGCCCTCAACTTCATATGTGAAGATATTGAGTGCACCACTGGAATGCTACACTATTGCATCTAGCTGCCCGGATCCATGACCAAAGGTTGCCTCCGAAAGGGGCCCGTTGAAAGCTTCAAGACTTGCCGGCAACAATCCCAGCCACGCGACTGATGGTAGCAAAACTGACACGTGCACACTGCGCACTACACCAAACCCCAGGTTGTTGCAAGTTGCGCAGATTCGATGCTCAGATCGCTTTCACGTTTGCTGAGCATGAGCCATGCTCAAAGCCTTTCGGCATGTGCTGGTCATCCATGGGCACGGCTCCCGCCACATCCTGCGCGGCGCAAGTGCGCTCGCACCCGGCAAAAGGGATCCGCAAGTAAGGGACCACCTTCATCATCGTGAGCTTGCTTTATGCCGAGGTGTGCCCGTCATCAAATTTGCAGATACCCTCCACCAACTAAGATGGAACTGTCCCGCAAAAAGGAAAACAGTCTTCCAGGACGCCCCTGTCCGGTTCCACGCTAGTTCATGGGAGGGCATATGAAGATATACGGGGGAGCCAGAACATAGACAGGTTCCCTTTGCGAAGTGGGAAACCTGTAAGAAACACACCCGAATGAATATAATTGGGAGGGAGCTTTGAGAGAGCTGTTTCACAATCCACCACCGGTCACCTTGAAATAACACGCGCGCGTGTACACGCGTGTATATACCATGCATATATCTATATATATATAATATATATATATATAATATATATATATATGCATATATATATATATATATATATTTCTCTCTCTCTCTCTCTCTGTCTCTCTCTCTCTGTCTCTCTCTCTCTCTCTCTCTTTTTCTCTCTCTCGCTCTCTCTCTCTCTCTCTCCCTCTCTCTTCGCGTGTGTGTATGAACATATTTACATGTATTTTAGATATGTATATATATATACATATGTATGAGTCTAGATACATATATGCATAGATATATGATTGTATATAAAATCGGCGAGGGTTCGTCAGGAGTTTTCTGCGCTTGTTTTCGATCGGTATCACCGTTTACAGCTCCACTACCTATCTGGGTCATGTCGTGGAGGCATTGGAATGCTTTCAGAATTCTTGCATGCGGACTCTCACGCGGTAATAGAGAAGAATAGCTGCAGCTCAGCCCTATAAAATGCCACCGACACACGCAACGACGTGGAAGGCTGCTCAGACCCGAGCTTCAAAATTGCTGGGCGCGCCTCTCAAAAAAGTCAGGCGGTGTCCCAAATAGCCCCAATTGACCTTCAGCGGAGACTTCGGAACCCTGTGCGGCTCCGTGCATACAAGCGCACAAGCACGCTTGAGGCCCAGGCGAGGTGGCGAGCGCACGTACGCGCGTGCTCGTGAAGCCAAACGTTATCATCCCCCACCCCTCCCCCTCTGATGGCACGATGACAACATGGGCATGCAAATGACAAATATGTTCACAACCGGAACTTTTCCACACCCATGGATATATATATATATATATATGTTTATATGTGTATATCTCCATAAATGTACATATGCATATACATGTATTGTTCCTATTGAGATTACTTAAGAAACCGCCCTGCACCAAATAGTTCACCCTTAAACCTACGCTAAGCGTAACCAAAGCACCCTAAGTCCTCCTTAAGCCCACCCTGTCCTCACCCTAAACCCACCGTAAACCCAGCCCACGTCTGCCCCAAGCTCAACCTTAACTTCATAGACCATCCGCCCCAACCCCCCCTCCCCCGAGCAACCCCCCCAACCCCACCCACCTAAAGCAAACCCAACGCCCCTCCTCCACCCCCCAAAACAAACCCAACCAACCCCCCCCCACCCCCCCCCACCCCCCCCCCACCCCCCCCCACCCCCCCACCCCCCCCCCACCCCCCAAAAACAAAGCCCAACGCTCCCCGTCCTCCACCCCACCACCCCAAAACCCAAAACAAGCCCAACGCCCCCCGTCCTCCATGGACATCGTGCTCAAGGAGCTCAGCGTGAAGGCGCTCCCCGCCCGCACCGCCGCGCGCGCCGTGGCCTTCTCCGCCTCCTCGTGGGCCTGACGCGGACGTTCAGTGCGGTTTGGGGCGCTTTTGGTGGTGCCAAAAGTCTAGGGAAGTCAATCCTTTCGTAACCCAACGGAAGGATTGAGCCTGTTCAACAGCCCAGGTGAGTGGTTTACGGTTAATGGGAGGTCAAAGGACACCTATAACCTCAGGGTTCCCTATAGGTCTAGCAATTACCTTCCCTTTCTATTCTTTCCAGGGATCCTACTTTCCAAAAAACAACAAACCCAGGGGAAACGGCCAGTGTTTGAAAAGAACCCAGGTTCAAACCCTAAGGAAAAGGGTTGAAAGGTTTGATGGGTTCAAAGGCATGGGTGTCCTTTTAGGGGAAATAGATGGCCCTGGTAGATGATTAAACCACCAGGTACACCAGGAATCGCCATCTTCTGGCAACACAACCAAAAAGGACACCTATGTTCACAGGTGGTTGAAAGGTGGATCCAGCGATGTTTTTCAGGTTCAGGTTGGTACCAAAACTTGCTGGTGCGAGAGATGCAGGGAATGAGAAGTGGAATAACCCTTATGAACCATCCAACTGGTAATTTCCTTATAAGGAAATTCTGTTCCGGTTCTTTCGCACATTTCCTACAGAGCACCAGCAAGGATATTCCACATGTAAACCATAGAAAGAAAGATGGGTCCATTCACACCCATTTCCATCTAGAGAGCTGTAGAGCAGGTGGCAAAAAGAAAGGGGTTGAGGGAACCCTTTTGGGGGTGGTTCAAAAGGGGAAGGCTAGGGTATGCAAACCATCACATACTTCCAAGTCTTCCACTATCTGACTTCCCCTATAGAGGAAACTTCAAACACCAGAGAGGGGATGTTGAAAAGCAGCAAACGGCGAAATATGGGTATGCTCGTCAAAATAAGGATCTGAAACGCGCAAGTTGTGTTTTGCCGTTTGGACCCCTCAAAAAAAAAGAGAAAAAAAAAGAAAAAAATCAAGCACAGTGGCGAGCGGCTTCTTGGTATATATGCATGCAACCCCAAAACACAGTCACGGTTGCTGGGACAACGGCAGCAACTGGCAATGATTTAGGGAAGAAGAAGAAGAACAAAAGGGAACATGCGGCGCCTTTTCTGCTGGTGCTTCGAAAATCCGGGGAAAGGGCCAATGTGGGAGCTCAATTGGTAAAAACCTGGGCCTTTACATCTTACAAACCACAGGGCGACAGGGGTTCTGCCAAAGGTGGGCTTGGACACGGGGAAAAAAGCAGCTTTACAACCACTTTTCCTCAAAGCATACACCCCACAAACTGGGGTGTAATTTACAAGGACATCCTGTAATTCAGCTGGAAAAAGAAATGTTTTAACGTTTGGACCCTCAAACTACCTCAGGAAATTTGGAATTTTCAAATAAGTTGCGGGCCAATATCCAGTTTTTCCCAGGGTAGCCACCTTTTTCTCGGTTTTCTTTCTAGCCAGCCCCCCTCCAAATCCATTATGTGCTGGTACCCCTTTAGAAAGGTTGTCTTACAAGGGCAACCAAAGGGGGCAACCAAAGGAAAATCATCCCGATTCTTGAAGATGTCAACAAACCAGTTGGGGAATTCCAAATTGCAAACCCACCACCCTTGTTTCCCCGTTCATGGAGTCGATAGGCCCAGCTGGATCGGGTTCCGGGCCGGCGGTTGGATCGGTTCCGGAAGGTCGGAAGGTCTAAGGGTTCCATGCGGTTGGATGGCGTGTTCTCCGAGCTCCATGAAGTTGCTGGATTGGATTCTCGGTCAGCGGCTGTTGCACAGGATTCGGATGGCTTTCCGAGGGGCTCGGGGTTCGAAAATCTGTTTACCGAAAAGCTCCGAAGGTTTGCAGTTGGCGATACCACTCGGGCTCCCCATCCATTTTTGCCCCAGTTCCTCATGGGTCCAAACACATCGCCCAACCCTCAACCGGCCTGCCCGTGCATGGCCGAGGGGGCGATCATCACCGGAAACCGGCAGTTGATGCCGAAGAAAGAGCACCGCAGGTCCACGGTACTGAGCAGTCAGCGCTCCAAAGGCTTCACGCACCAAGAGAACCCCCACAGCACATCCGGTTTGACAGGTGGCTGTCGGTCCCTATGAACCACACACCTGTTTGCCTCAACTCCCCTTCCTGAGTGGATTGGCCCAAAGCCTAAACGATGCGACTGAAATGATCCCCAACAAAAAAACGGAGTAGTCGGGGGGGGGGGGGAGAGGGCCTTGAACCTGGAACCTGGGGCCCGTGAACTCAGCGGACTGGGGTCATGTGGGGTATCCATGTCAGCTACCAGCGAGGTGGCTTGTCGCCATCAAACACTAGCACTTGGGCTCTTGGTTTCTTACCCACCCTTCGGGCTTCCCACACCCCAGCTTCGGTCAACTCCCTGGAAAGAAAATAAGGAAAAACCAAACGATCCGGGAGGCGACACGGGCACCAGCACTCTGGGTATTATCCTGTACCTCTCGAAGGCGTAGCGATTTTCCTGGGCCAGGCGCAAAACCGGGGGCGGGTCTTTCATAGGGATTTGGACCCACAAGCATGATTGGTCGCCTTTGGGCTCGTCCGACTGGGTTTCTTTCTTGGGCGCCCTCCAAGAAAAAGGAACCATGCCCTTCCTTTGTCCAACGTGCTCCAAGGTGGAGCCTTTCATTGTGAAAATGGGGGAAACAATCCCACTGTGCCGCGCTGTAAACGGGACTGATGCCCCTGGTGTCGGCCAAGCCTTCCGTGGCTTCCGTGAGAGGATTCGGGTGTCTTCCCCTTCTGGTCCTCAAATAAACAGTTCAATCTGACACTCCTATTGTTTTAGCATCTCCCTTCAGGATTTCCCATTCAAGTAAAATGCCCATTGGTTCTGTTCAAAGGCTTGAAAATAAGCCCACATCAGCAACCCTTTGCAGCTTTGTTCAACCTCGCCCGTGTTGCGAACCACTCCGGAGCAGTTCTTGGATGAACCCCCCAGCTTTCAGGGGACAAATCCTTGGCTGCCCTTGAAAGCAGCCCAAGTCCCTCTTCAGCTTTTCTGGCGACACTGGAATTCCCTTTGCTGGATTCCACTGAAACTGCCCCCTGTTAGAGGTCAACTTCCAAAGGGAATTGAAAGAAAGACCCCTCTTGAAACCTCCCCAAGGCACACAGCCGAGTGCCACTCACTCGCTTTTCAAAAAAATAAAAGAGAAGGTCTGTCTGTGTTTGAAAAGGAACTCAACCTGTAGGGGTCCCCTAATTGTTGAACACATGTCTGGGCGCGAATGAGTTGATTCTGACAGCGTTTGACATCGGCCAGCCAGACACACACACAAGCCCTGAAGGGTTCAACAAATCGACCCACGCGCACGTGTGCAGATTGAACGTGGAATGCATGGCAATCCTTCGAGCTAGCCAAGACAAAGCCAAAGAAGCTAACAAGCGAACGTATGTTCAGAATCAGAAGTGAACGATATGGAAAGTGACACCGGTGTTACACTAACGTGCAGCGGCGAATGAGCTGAACAAGAAAAACATCCTGCCCAAATGCATCCGAAGGGGTGCCTCCTCCCATGGCAAAGAAGAGGAAAAATGGCAGCACACTTGGTTCTGTACCAACAGTTTTCTGTTGACACGAATAGCATGCATGAAAAAACACTCTATGGACCAAAGGCGACGAATGGTTCACGGCACATGACGCCCTCGAGGTGCCGAGGGGTTCACTCCAGCACTCTACTATGGGAATCGGGGTTTGGTAGCCCTTGATTACCTAGGGATCCCTATATTTCTTGTTCACACATCGACCCGCCGCCAAAATGAAACTCTTCCAAAATTCGCCTTTCAAAAAAAAACAGGGTCACCGGATGTCCGATTCAAAAGAATACACAAACCGGGAAGGGAGTGTGTGTGTGTGTGTGTGTGTGTTGGGTCCTTCAGGTTGGTTTCCTAAGGCCCAATTCAATCCGGGGCCCGCGAGGTGTCCACCGACCTGTCAATACAGGCTTTTGCTGGACCGGCGATCTTCGCGGCCGATTTCGGCCAGGCTCCTTCAGAGTCCACTCGTCTGTAGCACCGCCCTGGTAGTAGCCGTAGCACGCCGTTTGGATCGCTTGGCGAGCCTGCTGCCTGAGATCCATCGCGTACCACAGGTGGCCGTTTCAACAAGATGGCCCTGGCAAATGCAATGAAACCCATCTAAACCACTGCCATCTATTTGTAACCAGACCAACCTAAAAAGGGACACCTATGGTTTTGAACCACGAATGGATGCCCCTTGGCAACCTGGGCGAGTGTTTTTTGAGGCTGTGGGGCTTCCCTTGAACATCTCCGCGTGTGCTGCAAACGTGACTGCTCCAAGCCAGGCGATGAGCTGATCAAAGATCTGTGCTTCACGGGCACCTGTGCTGCACCTTTCCGTCAAAACCTGCGCCTTCACGCGAAAGCAAACTGGCATTTCTAGCAGGCGTACGGGCTCGAATTGGAAATTCGGCATGGGGGTTAGAGTTTGCCTAGGGTTGGTTTAGGGTGGGCTTAACTTTTTTGAAGGGTGGTCTTGTGGTGCATTTACGTAGGCTCGGGTGGTGGTAGGGCGGGCTTAAGGTGGTCCTAGGGTTGGTGTACAATCGGTTTGGGGTCGGTCTACGATGGGTTTACTGTGAGCTTAAGTTGGTTCAGGATTTGTGTAGGGTGCGCGTGTGGCTTAACGGCGGGGCTTCAGTTGGGTGGGTATACAGTTAGCTTAGGACGGTTTAAGGCTGGGCTTCCTGAATGGCGTGCTCACGCATCAATCCAAGCATCGCTCGACCCCACAGCCGTGTTGCATATTTGAGATTCAGCTCGCCGCTTGAATTGGGTTCTTGATTCTTGATGGCCTCTTGTGTGTGTGTGTGTGTGTCCCAGCCCAACAAAAAAAAACTCGCACAAATTTCGGGAAGCCTGAAATCTGACACAATCACCACTGCAAGGGTACCCAGAGCCCATTCTTTGCATGTGCTTCCATTCCCAACAGGGCCAGATAATAGGGAACCTACAAAAAGAGGGGTTTGAGTTCCCACGGAAACAGCAAGAACCCCACTGGATACCCTTTTTGCTCCATTCTGGGCTATACCAAGCCTGATTTTGCCGGACTGTCATGCTCCGAGCCTGCAATCCCCAGAAATGTCCTAGAAAACCGCCCGCTCAAGACAAAAAGAACGGGCTCCGAAGCCGGATGCGGAAAGTCAGATGACTCCCCCATTGATCGGAACCAATTCGTTGAGAAGAGAAAGCCGCCACAAGAAAGCTGAGCGGCTCGAAGTCATCGAGGTTCATGCAAACTTCATGCACTCGCCCAGTTTGCTTCGCAATCGCCTCCTCGCAAAAACGAAAAAACAAGCACGGGAGAAAATGTCCTTCTGAAACAAACCCAGATTGAAGCGGCGGCGCGAGAGCCAAGGAAACCAAGGAAAAAAGGAAAACATAAAAAAAAAAATATGGTTGTTGTTTTTGGGCGGGCGGAATTGTCGGTTAAAAGAAGCACAATTGGAGCGAAAACTACAGGAAGCCAAAGCAAAACCCCTTCTGGGGGGTGGAGGGGTGTAAAACAAACACCAAATGGGGGGAGGGGAGTAAAACCAAGGCAAGACAAAGGAGGGGGGGATGGGGGTAAAACCAAGGGCAATCTTTTTTCTCTCTTTTCCCCATTTCCCAGGCTTGCCGGTTCTCAGGGAATGAGAAAATGAGCCCCATGAGCCACCCCTTGTGCCAACCAGAAAGGGGGGGTTCCCGCAAAAGAGGTTTTGCCTCCTGGGTGTCGTCTTGAGCGAGGAAAAAAGGACCAAAGCAACAGGAAACCACATATGGTGCAATCAATGAGGAACAAAGGAAACCAAAGTCGAAAGATTAGTTTTGGGGCCTTTGATGTGTCGGAAAGTGCCACTTGGGCCAAGAGGAAGCTGAGGATATCGAAGAATTGTGTGTGTGTGTGTGTTTCAAAATACCCTTGGTTTCCCTTGAAATCAACCTCCTTTCGGGGGTACCACGAAAAGAGACGCACGCAATAACGATTGGGACCCTTCAAAACTGAAACATGTCCAGGCAATTGCAAAAAAACATTTTTGCCAGCGGTTCAATTCCCCAAACAACCAATCCAAACCACCACTTCAGCGCAAACGGAAAAAATGTATATCCTGAAAAAAACACACACACACACACACACACACACACACACACACACACACACACACACACACACACACACACACACTTGATATGAGACGGCAAACTGTGAATGTGCACCCCGAAACGTAGGTGGACTCAAGCACTGAATCAGGTTGGAGTTTCGGCATGCGTATCCTGAAACAATTTCGCTCGTGAGAGGCGTCCTCATCAGGGGTGCCATCGCCACTCTCGAGGTACTTTTGAATCAGCAATCCGCATGGTGGCACCCGACTCCAAAAAGGAAAAGGAAAAAGAGAGACACGACCGCAGAACCCCTTAGGAACAGGGGGGCCACACACACACCCCCCGCAGGGGGAAGAAAAACCGAACCGCCTAAAAGCCGCCTCCATCATGATTGCCGATGGGTAGTTTAGACGGTTGGCAGAACTCCTGCCTAACTGCCCACGATCATTTTACCACGGAGCATCGCCGTCTGAGCTCAGGTGCATTGGTTCGAGATGGTCGCTTTCTGGTGCTGCTCCTTCAACTTCCTGAGACGTTCCAGGCTCCTCCAGCGCTGCGTGACATCCGCAATGGACCTGTTGAGCTTCTTGGCCAGCGATTTGTACGAGTACTTGGACCGGTTGTCCGCTTTCAGGCTGCAAAGCTGCTGGTCATCTTCCTCTGTCCATGCGCGAGGTACTTCAGGGGGAGTTCCTGGATTGCCAGCATCAGAGTGAGCACAAGCAGGGGCTTCAGGAAGAGATTCAGGAGAGGAGAATGGGACCACGCAAGGAGATACTGGAGCTGGCGCTGGAGTGCGAGGTACTGGACGTGCTGGAGGCTCCGGGGAGTGCGTCCTCTCGGAGGACGTAGCACGGCATCGCTTCCGCTTCGTTCTGCGCCGATCGGTCCCACACTTGTCCATGATGGAGCTGGGAACATTTCTTGATGCTCGGCTGACCGACATGGGTGCGCGCCATGGAGCTCTTCGGGCGTGGATCTATAACCTCGTTGGTCTCCCCCGTGACGACGCCGTAGGACAACGACTTGGGGTTTACCACCGCGTTGCGCTGGTGGTCCACGTGTAGCTGGAGTGATTGAGCGTCGACCAGCGGCGGGGGGTCAGCCAGATCCTCCGAGTTGACCGAATGCCGAATCCCGGGGCCAGGTAGTTCTGCCTCATCTAGTCGGGCATGGTCATGCGCTCGCGGTCGCGATGATTCTGCCAGCGACAGACCTCGGACGTGATGATGCCGCACGCCATCGTGCCCGCCATGCATCCTGCGACTGTGCGCCTCGTCAGCCTGATTCAAGGTCTCCTGGATGAGCTCCATCATGTCCGCAGCGTTCTGGGTCATCCGGTGGTGGAGTGCAATCATGCGTCCGAGCATGACGACCGCGTTCCGATATCGCCGAAAAGGCCCACGTCTTGAACCACCAGATAAGCTCCGTGATAAACCCATGAATCAAAGGGCTCCGGAACTCAACCAGAAAAACCCCAGCCCAACAGCCCAACCGAGTCCGACCCCGTTTGGAAAAAGGACCGAACCGAACAGAACCAGCAAGGGCCACGCAGCCGAACCTGAAGAAACAAGGACAATCAACACATAGACATTCTTTCCGGTTGGGATGGCCGGAAGATGAAACAGGTGCTGCAGATCCGCTGACTTGTAGCCGGCGGACAAATAGATACTGCGAAGCTGATCCAACGCCATCTGTACTGCCCGTGCCGGGTGCGCATACTTGGTGGCGAGAGCTGACCGTGATCTAGCCCCGGAGAGAAGGGTGGAAAGACTTCCTGCAGTGTGGGGTCCTCTGATCTGCCAGATTTTTGTTGGCGTTTTGTAGTAAATCGCCCGGTCGCCTACGTCGATGACGAAGCCGAGGAACTCAGAGGAACCCACCTGTTCCAACACGATGGGTGCACCATAAAAGTCAGCGTGAAGCAAAGCCTCCAATGGGGCTGCTGGGTGACCGGAAGCCGGAGACGGGAAGATCACAAATCTGTTGTCAACATAACGCTCCAAGAAGATGTTGTGGCTGGCGAACCATTGTCCATAAATACGCTGCCAGAGAACTTCGTGCCGCGCGACGCAAATGTGACTGAGAACTGGGCTCAGCTGAGAGCCAATCGCTGTTCCATGGACTTGGCGGAGAATGAGAGTTCCCACCTGGACGTACATGCATTGGAAGCTGGATTTGACTATATCCAGGATGTCCTCCACATAAATGACCCGCGTAGTCGGCGTGCGTCCATAGGATTGCTTACCCGCAAAGACCCGGTTGTAGTGAACCGCCGCCTGAGTTTCCACCGAATAAATAAGACTAGCATGCTCTCGCCGGTGCTCTGCTAATAGCTGCTCCACTGCTGCGCACACCTGATCCTGAGGGACACTGTTGAAGAAGCCGACCAAATCGTCGTTGTGAAATGCGAGAGTGACCGTATCGTCTGAGTTGTCAAAGTATTGTTTGACGTTCTGCCATATCCTCGGCGTGGGGTGTACCCCCCACGAACACTTCCATGTACTCGCGGCGATCTCGCCGAGAAGGATCGCAACCGCTTTGAAGAGCTGCCGGTGCACCACCTTATGGTAGGCTATAATGGTTCGCCCTGATTTCCATTGCTTCTTACGTTTGAGAAAGACCTTGCCGACCGGGATCGCGGTGGTCTTCTTCCTGTATGCCCATTTGTACTTCTTCTGCAGGTGCCGCGGGATGGCTTCAACAGTAAGAGCCTCGGCCTGGTCGGGCTTCAGCGGAGTGGCGGTAAATGTGCCTGACTGAAGCCAAGTGTTGTGGAGGCCTTTGAAGTAGAGTTGGGGGCAGAAGAACATGAGGTGGTGGTTGTCGTGGTCCTCGTTATGGCACACAAAGTCCTGGCCGAGGTGTCGATGCAGGATGTTCAGCTGGTGCTTGGTGAGAAGTTGATGGGTGGATGCGTGTTGCCGGTGTTTCAGAAATTCACGGCGTAGGTGCTGCATGAGGGGTGCGTGGAACTGGTCCAGGGGCAGACCATGGTGCAGACACCATTTTCGTAGACGTTCGTGAACCTGCACTTCGTAGACTGACAGGTCCACATAATACGACGCCAAGGCTGAGGTGTAATGAACGTGCTGTGGAGTTCCGGGAAACCGGAACTCATCCAATCCCGCGGCCACATGGCCTTGAACATGAGATAGCCAGGGCTGCCGTTTTAGCCAGGCTGCGCACTGACACGATGATGGTCCGGCGGATGTGAGGAGGTAACAGTCCTGAAACGCCGAGAAGTTCCACATGACCGTATGAACTCGAGGATGAGGGGTCTCCGCCAACTTCGTGCTGGGCAAGTGGAATGGAAGAGCCCAGTTGCGATGGTCGAGAACAAGCCGACGAAGGACTTCCCTGGTGGACCGCTGATAATGGGGATGAGAAAGCCACGGTAACCGCAACAACAGGTTGATCTTGGGTTGTTGGAGTTGGCGGAAATCAAGAACTCTTCGCAAAATATTCGGAACTCGATGCCGATGGGGTTGTTCCACATTGCCTGACAGCCTGTATATGGCATATATATCCAAGTCTGAATGCCGTCCACTACGAAGTCGTTTTTCCTGCTCCCAAGATTCGATGTGCTCCGAGGTGAGGCGAGCGATGATTGACCAGGCCTGGGTGTGTTTGAGCGCCACCCGATGGAAGTTCCTGCCATAGACTGTACAACTCCTCCTGCGCAAGCGGAGGAAAAGGCGTTTGCCAAACCTGGACCAGGGCTGTTCGGCAAGAAACCGGGTAGCCGTGTAGCCAGTGGAGATGCGCTTGTACCGCCGGTAGATGTAGGGCCAGTTGAGGGACGGCTGATAGATGCTGATCAAGGCGTGTTCCTGCGTCCAGGTGACGGTATGGTCAGAGTCTGTGAAGATAACCCATGTAGCGAACTCGTCATAGTTACCAAAATGATGCCACCATCTGAGGGCCGGCTCTGCATTAATAAACTGTCCGTGCTGAATACCCAGTAACTTGGCCCTACGATTGTGTTCTCGACTGGGATAAGTGATGCTGGTACTTCCAATATATACGTCCGACTGCGGGTTGACTGAGCGTGGAAGGTCTGGGCGGAGTTCGACTCGCTGCTTCCAATACACTGCGTTGGGCTGCAAGAAGTGGCCGAAGGTGTACATGTTCGGGTGGATGCGTAACCGCCGGAGTCGAGCTCCGTGAGCGCGTGCGTGGGACGACCGTAGTGATGGACCATCAGCAGGGTGGACATTGACTCTGACCACATAGACAGTTGCTTGTTGACCATCGGCATGTTGAGGATTTGGCGACTGGTGACGATGATCAGATAGAGAACCTGATAATACTGGTGGGCTGCATGCACATCGAGGGAGTCCCCAAGTCTGATTGCAATAAGCGCGACGATGTAGGGAAGGAAATAATCGGTGCCGTGCTGCAAGCTCACCGGCCAAGACGGCTCAGGAATACCATAGTGTCTGGCTGCACTGCAAAGCTCCGACCGCGCATACTGACTATATAGTTGCAAAAGAAAAACCGTTTCTGGAGATTGAATGACCGGCATGGCTTAGCCATGCATCCAACGCTCGAGCACTGAACGGTTGACTAGGTCAACAGGAAAAACGGAAAACCGGAAAAAACCCCGAACAACCAACCCGCGAACCCGAAAACCTACATGAAAACGGAAAGGTAAAAGGCCGCTGATGGTCTCCGGGCAAGGTGCAGGCGTGAGGAGCAGCGGGCTTTTCAGACCAGTCGTGTCAATGGTGCTAACTTCCTGCCTCATGAGCGCTACCGTCACTCCCCTCACTTGCCATACATGTACATCACCGTGATGAACTGCAGGAGTGCTCGCTTCGAGCCTTTGCTCACTAAAGAGACGGTGGCCCCCCACTTGACTGCAATGGCTTTCAACTGCTCCACAGTGTCAGATGCCAGCTCCTGTTTGATGAGATCAAGGTAGTTCGCTTGGTTGGACAGCGTGCGTTCGTGTAGCCATGCCTTGAAGACCTTGTCCGTGAGACTGGTAGGAAGTGGCACCTGCTGACCTTTGGGGTTCCCTTGACGTAGAAGGTCCGAGTCTAGAGTAACATCCGGGGGAGCCGTCGGGGTCTTTCGCTTTGCTGGTCGTCGCTTAGGAGCCGGATCAGCCTCTGGAGATGGAACTGGTAGGGGAGGTCCTGGCTGATCCGAGTTGGCCGCATTAATGTAGAGAGACTGGTCGGACCGGCCGGGCGTGGGGGTCCAGGACGCGGCATTGGAAGGGGACGAGGATGGCAGCTTCTTATCCGGTGTAAGAGTGATGCCTTTGCTCTTGTAGCGCTCCAACTGTTGCTCCAACTCGGCAAGTTTGTGGCGAGTGAGGTTCTCCTGCTTGGCGGGCTGCAAGGACTCCATGAGATCCACGATTTTGATTGCAAGTGGCTCCATAAACTGCATGGCCTCATTGCGCTTGTCCGGCGCATTGTCCGCGTGGAGAGAGCGAGCTGTCCTGTCAATGTCGACCTCCCTGCCTCTCAATGCTTTGAGAATGGAAGTCAATAAGACTGCCTCGGCTATTGTCTGAGCCATGACTGGTGTGCTGTAGCGACCATTGGACAGTGCTCGTAATGCGTGATCTTCTGCTCCTCCTCGAAGAAGTCGTGTGAGTGGAAGATCCAGAATAGCTGTTCCTGCGAGCCCGACTCTTCTGGACCACTGAGTGGGCTGAACGTGACGGTACAGCTGCAGACCACGGACCTCCGTCTTATCCAAGAAGATATCGTCAGATTGGAAGGTGCTCGGAAGTAGCTGCGAATATCGAGGCTGAGTGTATTGCGTTGCATCACCCTGGCCGAGAGGTGCCCGAACTGGAGGTTGAGCTGGCGGTGCGGGTGGTGGAGGACGAGGACCCGTCTGCATGTGGCTTGTTCCACCACCGTGATAGTTGTAAAATTGACCAGGTGGTTGAGGAGGAAACTGATGAGCCATCTGTGGGGGCCGAGGGGGATTGACGCGAGGCGGTGCTTCTTCGCGAAGTTGATGTTGCGATGGTTCCGTCCGATTGGAGCTGAGATACGCCTCCTGCTGGGACTGCGGAACTGACCATGACGGAAGATACGAGGGTCCCGAATACGAAGAGGAGGAAGGTGCCGATGCCGCCGGCCATGAATAGCTCCACTGAGAAGCCAGCACTAGATAGGAGGTTGCCGGTCACACTGCTAATGGGTTAAACGCTAGGGGGAACGCCACACATTTCCGAGACAACAACCATTGCGAAAACACACCCAAAATCCGACCAGGCCCGGGGCGGTGAGAGACCAGAAAACAGCATTAGTTACTCAAAACTTCAAAAAAGGAAGCCCTGCAATAAGGTCAGCACATACTCGAATGAGGCCCTGGCGTGCACTTTTTGTCGCAAAATATCGTCGGTAGTCGAAGACGGCAGTGTGGCGAAGAATGCTCTTATTCGCAATGAAACATCATTAATTGTCATTGGCTACAACAGCTCCTGGTGCAGGTTCACGAGCGGAGGACACCAGTAGGTGGCTTTGCATCGGTGGGCCATGCGAGTCCGACAATCTGGCTTGCCTCCGGGATCACCATCCAACACTTGCCCGACACATAGTGGATGACATCAGGACGTTCACTGGAGTCCAGGGCCTCAATGCAAGCTTGCTCTCCTCCCGACCGAATGGGCTGACAGGTGCCAACAGCGCGTCCGAATAGCAACAATTGAGCCATGTTAAAAGACATGCTCCAGTTCTGGCTCATCGTGCGAGCGATTTCTTCAGCGTCGTAGTCGGCGTGTCCAGTGATCTTCCAGCCCTGGGCATAAAAGGCTGGGCACTCCGAGGAGTGCTGCCGGGAAGGATGGATCTGTCGGCTCCGCAGGATGCCGCGAGTACCTCCAACACTGGAAGCGTGAGTCCAGAGCAGCATGGGTCGCGTCTTCGTCGGTTCTTTGAGCCGGACTGTGGCCCCAAGATAAGGGACGGTCAGCATGAACAGTGCGGGGTGATCTTATAAAAATGATGATCCGGGTTGACCTTCGCATAGTTCAGGGTGGAGTGCTGAGACGGTATGCCTGCTGCATTCAAGGTCGCGGCCACATAGCTCATCTGATCCTGATTGACTGGGATCCCATCGCGAAGATATGGTGCGGCCAGCACCTGAAGTTCGTTCCTCCAAGGATCAGACTCCGGATTGGGAAGCAAGACCAGCGGTGGCTGTGCCTGCGGATTGGGGCGTAGCTGCATGCTCCTCGAGGACGACCCCACATCCGGGTGAGCTCCTGCGGCCTTGGAGGCCGGAGCTGACGGGGCACTGCTTCTGCTACGCGGAAGGGGAGATCGATTGCTTCTCGGTCGCCGGGATGAAGCTTTAGTTGCCGTAGGTGCCCGGGATGAGGACTTGGCTGCTGTAGGCGTCGGCGCGGTAGCATTCGATGCTTCCGTCGCGGTGTTGTCCGATGATGAGTCCCTTCGGGAGATCGGAGGTGGCGTCCGGGAGCGAGCTCGGCCTCGCCGCTGTGGGGGCACTGACTTGGAGTAGGGGGAAGCGTGGTGGGTACGTGACCTGTCTCCCTCCGTCGCGTGGCGTGATCTGGATGGTGGGTTGGGCGGTGGAAGCATCAGACCTGATGGGGTTGCCGTAGGGATCGGTGTAATAGGGGTCGGTGCTGTGGGCATAGGTGGGCATGCTGTAGTTGAAACTGTCGGGGCAGTTGGCGTCATCGGAGTCATTGGTGTCATCGGCGTGGCCGGGCGTGCTTTCACCAGGATTTGCGGCAGTGGGCCAGCTACAGATGCAGGCCAGACCTCCAAGGTAGGGACCGATGCCGACACGTCACCAGGGGCAAGAGCCGGGACCGCTGCTTTGGCAGCCCTTGAGGCGTTGGACACCTCGCAAGATATCCTCGAGGCTGGTGTCACAAGCGTACTCCTGCTCGGTGATGCTGACTGGTGCACCGGAGACCTGGGCGGCGTAGGGCCGGCAGTGTTCCTGGATGCTTTGGCCATGGGGCCTGCCGAGTTCGACATCGGACCTGCGTGGGGGCGAGACATCTAGTGCCAACAATTGCGAGCCAAGACCAAGCTGACGGCGTCGTGATTTTCCACCTGATGTGTCGGGTAGTCGGATTGGTTGTCAAACAGTTGGTCTGACAGAAACGGTTCACGGAAACAGTCTGGGGTGCCGGAAGGTCTGGGAGAGGTCCAAGCCTGTATTGATAAGGTCAGCTGGAACAGTCAAGCGTCACGAGCGACAAGGTCCGGTAACAGTCTGTAGAAAATGTCTGAGCATGAGTCGGAACAGATGCCCACAACGGGGATCAAGACACTGACCGAAGCCCGGACGCAGTGCCTAAACACACTTGATATGAGACGGCAAACTGTGAATGTGCACCCCGAAACGTAGGTGGACTCAAGCACTGAATCAGGTTGGAGTTTCGGCATGCGTATCCTGAAACAATTTCGCTCGTGAGAGGCGTCCTCATCAGGGGTGCCATCGCCACTCTCGAGGTACTTTTGAATCAGCAATCCGCATGGTGGCACCCGACTCCAAAAAGGAAAAGGAAAAAGAGAGACACGACCGCAGAACCCCTTAGGAACAGGGGGGCCACACACACACACACACACACACACACACACGCAACACACACACACACACACACACTTGCGATCGCCCTTCGCTCTCGCTCGCCAGGCGCCTGTGTGCGGTAGCTGGCCCGCGAGCGCTTCAGCGGCGGGGGCTCCTCTTCGATGGTCGAAAAGGCGCCCAGGATGCCCTTCCTCAGCGAGAAGCGAGAAGGGTTTGGCAAAAACCCGAACCCCGGAAAAGTCCCTTAAACCGGGTTTGCAAAAATCCCGGGAACTCCCTTGGAAATGAACATCATGTCCAACCACGTTTGAGAGCATTCCACATAAACTAGGCTACGTCAGGGTATTGGGTGCTGTTAGAAAAGAGATGTACTCCGAATCTACTTGCAGGCTGCACGTGCGGTTCCCCATGGCTCTTGTTGCAAGTCGGCGCTTTTTGGGCCGGCAAGTGTGCGCACTATCCGGCATTGAAGCAGAACGGCCTTGGGACTGGCGGCCTCATCCGCAGGAGCAGTTGAGAGCCTGGAATGCCATTGACCGGGCGCTGAGCAGGGCACTTCACTTCGGTCCCGCGTGCAGAGGGGATGCAGAGCGCGCTGCATGCCGAGGGATCAAACGTGATTCAGCTTGTTGCCAAGGTAGCCGAGCGCTACCATGAGCATTTTGCTGGTTGCTGGTGCGTGATTGACAGGGAGCAAGGGAGCCTTCATGGTTGCACCCTACTGTCACGGCCTACAACGACCTACAACAACCACTCCGAAACTAACATGGAACCATGTGTTCGTAGAAGAATCTCTTTTGGGGATTGAACCCCCCCATTTGGGTGAGAATGTTGGATGCCAGCCATTTTGGAGAGATGGTAGTAATGAGTCAGTTAAAGCCAAAATGTATGAATATATTTCACGCATTATGGAACCATGGGACGGTCCTGCATTAATGGCCTTTTGTGATGGGAATTTATAGTTTCATATTAAGTAGGTATCTGTTTCCCTAAGCCGGCTCGCAAACTATGGGGCTATATCTATCAGTTTTGAGGGTTTCTTCCTCTTTTGGCTTCTTTCTCTCATATTAGTCCCATAGCCAAACTCCTCGGTCCATGGCCAGCCCGTTCTTTTTGACAGTCCTCAAGAGTTAAAGGAACAGAAACAAGGAAGGAAGCAAGCAGGATACGGAAGGGGAACCAAGCGCAAGTCCAGGTTTTTTGACCATGCTTCCCAAAACTAGGGACCCCTGCGGGTGGCTGCTTTTCTTTTGGTCTCCCTTTAAGACATCCCCCCCCCCCCCCGCATTTTGCCTACAAGTATGAGTGTTCAATCGCAGATCTTCTGGTGGACATCATTTACATGTCGGATTTTGTGTGACCAACATTCTTGACCGGTTTGTGAATTGAAATCCAAATCCATAGGACTGGATTGAAGCTGTGGATGCAAACTCCAGGCAATCCCAGTCACGGGGGTGATTTTGTCCCTCAGCCCCCTGCCCGGGCTTCCTCATCACTGATGACTCATCACCTCTAAGCAGCACGCCACAAGAGAACTCATTTCAACATTGCCCCACATATTTGTTCAGATCACCAAGAAGGACACATCTGTCTTGCAAGGAACCCGAAGGCTCCATGACCACTATATGTATGTGAAATTAACATGAAATTTAATAACCATTTTTGTTGTGCACAATTGCATCATGTCATGTTGAATTTATACATGTGTTTAGTTCCCTTACAGTTAACTGTATTTGAATCCTTTCATACAACTACATCTTAATCAATGAGTTCACTGTTTAACTCATCACTAATAAATGGAGAATAGCTCAATCAACCCCAAGTCATGTCTCAACTTCCAACCCCCTAGTAAACATGAAAAAAATATCCAGTGATATAGATTCCCGTTAAAACCATCTGGGGACAATAAAAAAGAACTCAAAGCCCACACTCCCAGGCAGCGGCTTGGCAAAAACCGAAAAACCGAGACGCGCTCGCTCCCCTTGCCGCCGGTTCCGGACAGCCAAGTACCCCTTCTGCAGCGTGTCCGACACCTCTGCGAGAAAGGAAGGCCGCGGGAAAAACCGCCCCGCGGCTCCGGGGCGTGCCCTGGCTTCACCCCATTTTGGCGCTTTGGGGCGAGCAAAGCCGCCATTCTGGGGTGCTTTTTGCCAGGGAAGCCAAAGCAACAAACCAAAAGGAAGCTCATCTTAGGGAATCAAAATGCGGCTGCCTTGGTCGCTTCGCCCAGTCCGGCGTGGGACCAACTCGTTTGATGCGCGCCGGCCGCCCGCGCGCAATTCGACGCGCCTCGGCCTGGCCCGGAGACCCGCCCCTGGCGCGCGGGCGCAAAAAAAAACTCCTGCGAGTGGAAGCGTGGCATTGGGTTTTAAAACAAAAAAGAACAAAAAATGTTCAGGGCATGGGGAGGGGCCACCATGTTGTTGTTGTTCTTTTAATGCCAGTGGTTCGAAAACCCGCGTTTCCATTTCAGTTTAAGCCATTGCTTCATTTGACCATCTTGTTCAAACCTCTGGGTTCCAGGAAAACCCAACGCCCGCTTCGCGGCTTTCACGGTTCCAGTTTCCGCCTGAAGGTGTTGGAGTAACTCCGCTGCATGGCGAACTTCTTGGGCTTGTTGGAGACGTCTTCCTCCGTGTTGTGCGCCACCTAGCGCGCTTGGGTGCGCTCGGAAGCGCGCCGAATGGGTGGAGTGTCAACTTCGGTTCCCTTTCAGGCAATGATCCCGTTTTGGGGAGTTCCTGTGATTAGCAGAGAAACGCCCATTGTCATCCGAAGTCAACTTGCGCCCCTCAAAATGGCTTGAGGTTCCCATGCGGCTAGCCATCAGAGTATGGTAGACCCCCACTCCATATACCCACTTTTGCTCACTTCCAGAAGTGGCTGGGAGTCTTTTTTTTGAGGCTCTCCTTCTTTGTGCTTGGCACGCTTGGTTTGCAGGGACCCCAAACTACCCTGGGACCCGTAACCTGCGGGTCCCCGGGCCAACCCCTGGGCTCCGGTCCCTCCGGTCCCTCCAGTCCCTCCGGTCCCGCGGAACGCGTCCCTCCTGGCAGGGCAGCAGCAGCGTGCCCGCGCGGATCCGCGCCCCGGCTTCGGCCACGCAGTTGAAGCCCAGCTCCGAGGAGGCCTCCAGGTAGCTGCGCCGGAAGATCAGCGTGCCTGCTGGGCGCTCAGCCCCGGGTTGGGTTGGCGGGTTGGTTCGGGAGTGCGCTCGAACGGACGGCCTTCGATGCCTTTTTGGCTGCTTTGGCCTTGAACGCGACCAGGACAAACACGCGGCACAGAGAATGCCACGAAAGCGTTTGTGAATCTGCCCTCTTGGCAAAAGAAGGAAACAAGTCTCGCCTCCACAAACTTCAGCTGCGCCAACTCGGGCTGAACGCAAATCTTCCACTTCCCTGCTGGATCTGCCAGCTTCACTCTTCCGCGGCGGGTTCCAACCACCAGGTCCGTTTTGAAAAGCCCCAAAGGCCGGTGGTCCAACAAGTAGGTGGTGATCTAAACCAAAGTGGCTTGAACCCTGGTGAATGGAAACATGGACTCTGAAACCTGCGCGGTTTGCCCAAGCTCTTTCATTTTGAGCCACCCCCGATTGGAGAAGCTACCCCCCCCCCCCGCCCGTGGCTGATATGGCCATGGATCTTTGATGAGGGACCCTTGGACGTCATTTAGCTGGGGATTCATGTGCACCAACCACTTTTGAGGTGCTTCCGACTCTTACAGCTTATAGCCGGAAGGCTCCCATCTATCAGCCCAAGCATCCCCAGCCGCTCTGGGCAAAGACCCCAAGCTTCCAACTGGGGAAAAACGATTGCTTTTGGGGCGGTGTTAAAGGGAACCAAAAGAAAAGCCACCACTTTTTTGGTGTCCATTATGGTTTCCTGTTTTTGGGGGGGCCTGCGGATTCTTAAACTGGAGAATGCAACCACCACTTAAGGTGTTTCTTTTTACAAGCAAACCCTGGCTAGAAGGGCTAGAGAAGCGTTTGTTTTTTTTTGCCATGGGGGTTCCCAGGTGTTTGCACCTGCACCAAAAAAAGTGGGAATCTTAGGTCTTGGACAACCCCATTATTGGGGCTGTCCGCCTTGCTCTGCATGTACCTTCATGCTGCTTACGCTTCTCGTGTTACTGGCTCTGTGTGCGCGAATGCGCAACTTGCTCTGCATCCGGCGTGCATCTTGCTCAGCTCTGTGCGAGCTGTGTGCTATTTGGCTGCGCGCAAAGGCTGGCGATTTTGCGTGAAAAACCTCGCAATGCTTTCGGGAAAACACAAAGTGCCAACCCACTAACATGGAAGTCCGCAGAACCCCTTCCAAAACAAGGTTCCCAGCCAACCAAGTGATGCTAAAAGCCACCACAAAAGGAAACATAGGGACACCTTTCCGCATGGAGAGGGCTCGTCTTCCCAACGCGAACCACCGCACCAGGCTTGGGAGGGCTTGCCCATGAAAGTGCCCTTGGTTGAAACCATTGCTCAAACTTGATTTAACCATTCAAAACTTTGCATGCAACAACCATTGGCTACCCAGTGTCCAATATGGTTTAAGTCACAATTGATCAAAAGAACCTCCTTTGGGGAAAACCTGCTAAGGACTCAACCGTTTGAAACGTGCGTTGTTTAAAAGGTGCAGGGCTGGTTCAGCACATCTGCCTATCTCAAACCCATCGCGCCTTTCTCCACGGAGTGGGAGAACAGCAACGAGGCGTGGTTCACCACCGTGCCGCTCTCGATGTGCTTCAGATCATACTCGCCTCAGGCAGAAAACCTCGCCTCACTGGCTTTTTGTTTGCGCATATGAGGTTTGGAACCATCCAGAATGGATGGGTCTTGCAAGAGGGAGTCCACCAAACAGAAAAAAAGAAGAAGCAAAACAAACGAAAAAATGGGCGCGACCTGAGTCAGAACCCGCCCCCATCACAAACTGAGGGTGGGGAGGCGTCTAGTCTGGTGAGGTGGGGTAGGGGGTCGGGGTTGGGGGGGCGGGGTGGGGTTGGGCTTCGTGGGGAAAATTCGTTCATATTCAGGGGTCGAAATCTAGCTGTCTGAGCCAAACATCTGTGGCGATGTTTGACGTCAAAACCTGGGTCCACAAGACCTCCCGTATTGCCATGGAGGGAGCCCCCCGGTGGCTTGGACATCCGCACCGAAGGGGTCGGGACTCGTTTTTTTTGCGCAAATCCCCAGCTTGAGCCAATATGTTTGTTGGGCAACGAGAGGGAATCCAAATCAGTTGGAGTTGCAGCCTCCAAACATGTCCAGGCTTTGTGAACCAAGACTCCTTTCTCAGACGGAAGTGGATCTGGTTTTCCGAAGAAAACAAAAATATACACCTCTTTAGAGGGGTCTGCCCTTAAAACCCCATGAAGGACGCGAGGCTGATCATGGGAATGATCCAACCTTTAACCCGAGCTTCTTTTTTTCGTGCGCAGTGCTGGGACTCTCTGAGAAGAACATGGCCGGATGGATATAACCAGCCATGTCTGTTGGGTATAGCTCTTGAAAATCGTACAAAATCCGTTCGGTTGGCTTTCCATGGAAGCTGAAAGGAAACCAAAGCTTGGATTCAAAAGAAAACCAAAGGAAAAGACCCCGGATGTCTTGCTTTCAGACCCTTGGTTTTTCCCGAGTGTATTCCCACCCCCGCCCCTCGCCGCGCGGCAGCCCACGGACGACCCCATGAGGCACACGTTCCAGCCGATCTTCGCACCCATAAGCCTCGAAAATCCAAGGCTTCCGCCCCAATTTGGCACGGAACCCGAGATCTGGTCTCTCAGAGGAGATGTTTTCTAACAATGATGTGTGTGTGTGTGTTGGGATGAACCATGGATTGAATTCTGAATTTCAATGGGGTTGTGGGGTACTTAAAGAGCAAAGCCATGATCACAGAGAAAACGTGAGTATTTGTTTAGCACCTCAGAATGCCCCCGATTCCAACTTTGCTTTGCGGTGGAAAGTTAATCAGGAGGTTTCTTTTGCGGGTTTCTACCTGGATTCTCAAACTACCATAAATTGCAACCAGAAAAACAGTGGGATAGGACTGGAATTCCACTTGGAATTCCAGGCGGCAACCTCCTCCCCCAAAGCGCACGGAAGGATGTATTTTGCTTTTTCAGGGCTCCCTAGGGTTGCTTCCCTATCACTTCTAGTTGCCATACTCCATCCCTTGAAACTCTAGTGTCAAAAAGGTGATGTTCAAGCTGGTCAAGGGAAAAACATGGAGACGTTCAGTTGCTTCAGCCCGATGTCCCTCTCCGCCAAAGCGCCTGTACCATCCCGACAGGAACACCGTGCCACACCTCAAGTTTGGCGCGGCTTCGGGACGACGGGAAGTGAGCTCATGCAATTGCCTTAGCACAAGTTCCAGGTGACTTGTGGCTGTGGGTCAAAAATAGGTGCCCTCCCACCAATTCACATGGAACCTGACACTCATCCTTTAACGGACACCCCTGTCAGGTTCCGTGTTGGTGGGAGGGTACCCAAAATGGAAGCCTGGCAGATGGAAAAGTAGACTAAAACCTGCGGTCTCTTGGTGGGTAAGTTTTGACCCATACCCATGCGGGCTTGGGGAACCCTCAAAATGGATTTCAGTGTTCCTGTCGAATCCCCCTGAACACCAACCAAAAGGGGGGTTTCCTAAAAACGAGACACGCTATATGTCCAAGATCAACATCGTCAAAGAATTGGCCCAAAGGGCGACGTTTGAAACCACCCATGCGGAAATTCGCGTGAGTCTCCACATGGGAACCCCAAAATGGCGGCTGAGTCCTTTTCTGCCACTCTCAAAATGGGTGGTTGATGTTTGGTCCTCAAACAACCAAAGTGTTCCAACGCAAAACAAAAAACAAAACCTTGGGTTGTTAAAACCTGATACCATCTCAAGTCAAAAAGTGTCCTTGCTGCAAACCACAGGTCTTCGATGCTTGGTCGCGCTTGAAGCCGCGCGCGCGAAGCCGCTCGTGCGAAGCCGCACGCTGAGATCCCGGCAAGGTCTGCAGGAAGAGTTGGTCTGCATCAAAGAGTACTGCCTCGAAGGCGATCCAAATGGCATAGCGCAGGCCGAACAGCCTGATCTCGCCTCAGATTCGAGAAGGAAGTCCACGCGAGTCAAAAGCGAACCTGGACCGGTTGGTGCTTGTTCCCATTAAACATGACTGGCCAGGGTAGCGTCACTGGACAAAAAGGAGCAAGAGTAACTCTATCTAGAATGGGACATGATCGTGCTCCAATAGATCGATCTGGGATTAGTTTGCCGTCAGTTTCTTGGACTTCGGGGAATGCGTCGAACACCCACCGAAATCGAATCCGCCAAATGGGTGCGTCTTAAAAAAGGGGGCCTCCATAATTGGTAGCTTTCCTTGTGGCTCCTTTCAAAACCAAACCCAAGAAGCCAAATCCCCCCAAAAAGTCCCCAAATCCAAGTAATGCCAAGCTTCTGGGCCGAAACCGACAGGCGATGGCCCACTTGAAGACGGGAATCAGCAGAATCTTGGACCTGGTGATTCGCGCACGCGGTGTCAGCGGCAAAACCCACGTTCCTGGACCCTCAAAAAAACCCTTCAAACATGGTTGGACTGGCAACATCACGTGCTTAACGGTAGTTTGAGGGTCCAGATCGTATTTTGCGGCTTGTCTCTCGAAATGTATCTTTCAGCCTCTGCACCCCTATGCAGGTTGGTGAGGGAAACCGCCATTGCGGGTCCCTTGACCTCGAAAAGGGACCACACCCATGCTTCATTGGGAAACTCCCTTGAGGGTCTCGAAATGGGTTCGCTGACTTCCCTTTGAAGGCTCGGTGGCCTTTCTGGGATACAGAGATGGTGGGTGCGTAGCTTCCCTTCAAAACAACGGAGAAGGGTACTGAGCAGAGTACCAAGCCTCAACATAGACCCCAAAAGCACCGCACGTTTTGAGGTTCACCACGTGGTGCGGGTGCGGTCAGGTCATATACAGTCCGAGTAACAAACAATTACTCCATACCATTGCCTTAGACCCCAAGAGCAAACATCTTCTTCATGAGGCTCGGGACGCCTCCTGGAGCTTCTGGTTTGGCTGTGTCTCCTGTCTGGGGTGGCCACAAAACTCTGCCAGCCGTCTGAAAAAAATAACCGCACCAAAAGAAAAGAACAAAAAGATAGCACCAAGCCAAACAAACCAGCCCAAAAGCCAAAATAGGGGACAGAACCTCAAAGAGGGTGCTAACCTACCTGGACCTTACCCTGTAAAATAGGGCCTGAGGCGATTGAAGGTCCAGCGTCAAAGTCCAGGTCAGCCCTGAAATTGCTTAACATGGGACATTGCTCAAATCTGTGGGGCAATGTCAAGCTAGGTGTTTTTTCTTTCCCTGCACCCTCACAGATTCCTCTGAAGGTGATTCCTGTGGGTGCCACGACCTGCCGAGCGTCGTGGTCGCCTATGAAAAGAGAAAGACGGAAACCCAACGGATTTTGCCAAACGGGTTCGGGTATTGCACAAAGCTCTACATAGTGAACCAAACTTGGGTTCCATTTCAAACCATCCCAAACAAGGACAAGCTGTCTGGGCAACTTCCTGTCATTCCCCAACTGAAAATCAGGAACCCTCGCAAGCACGCAAAGCCAAAAAAGAAAAGAAGAAGAAAAAAAAAAAAGAAACAGGGCCCTAGCCCCTTTCACCCCCCTCTTGCCCCTTCCTCTCCGGCTGGGGGCTTCGGGTTTTTCGGGCTTTGCCCCCCGGGTTCCCTTTAGGCTTCCCCCCCTTGTTCCCCTTCTTGGCGCCCGGGCGTCATGGTCACCAGCATCAGCACCGGGATGAAGGGCCAAGTGCCCACCTCCCGGCTCATGAAGGACCGGGCCTCCGTGACGATCAGCCCCGCGCAGAGGTAGCCTCCGCCGCGACAGGCGCCCGACGGGAGGCGTGGGGGGGTCGAGGAACGAGGAACGGGGGGGTCGATGGGTCAAAGGCACCACCAGATTTGTTCGTCGCTGTCTTTGGGACACCTCTAAATAGGGTCAATCAAGAAACCTGGGGGGAAGATTCCTCAAACCAAGAGCCATGGGTATTTGGTGATTTGGCAATACTGCCCGTAGAATTGTGCGCTTTCAAGAAGCATAAAACGCCACGCGTCGACATTGTCCTGCCCCAATCGGCTCGGAGAAAACTCACTTCGCTCCGTTTCGACATTCCTTCAGTCGGAATCCCAATGAGGCCATCCCTGCCACATGCTTCTCAAAATCAGGGACCCCCAACGTGTCCTTTGTTTTAACCTTGGAGACAACCAAACCAGGTGCCTTTGCACATTTGGATTTGTTGTCCCCGACCACGTTTGAGCATCAATTAAAATCATAGTCACATGGGAAGCTCGGGGCTCGGTCGTCGGACGCCATCTTTTTTGTGGGGAATCACTCTCGGTGTTCCACTATGTCCTCCATCTCCTCCCCATCTCCTCCCCATCTCCTCCCATGCCATCCCCAACAGTGGCCTCCCAAAACGGCTATGTGTCAAAATGAGTGAACCCCAAACGGTGATTGTCCTTGTGATGTCCTTGGAAACCAAGGTAGCGAGGGTACAACTGGGCAGGAACCCCCAAGGGCCTGCTCAAACCCCCCGCAAAGGATTTAAAGGTTTAAAGGTCGGAAAGCCTTCAATCGAAATTCCCCCATGTAAACCGCGACCACAAAACGTGGTCTGTTGCGAATTAAAGGTCCTCAACATCCCCCTAGCTCAAGGGTTTCAGGGTCCAAGCAGCCATTTGCACGGGGGCTCCCCCTTGTCCACATTCACGCTCAAAGTTAAAGGTATGATGTTAAAAGCTGACTAGGATGTGAGGTATTTATGCTGAGAAACCTAAGGTTCTTACAAATGTGACCAACAAAAACGGGAGGTAGTTGAGGTTTCGGGGGTTCATCTACCCCTGAAGGGAGCCCTCCATTTCTCCGTTTCTCTGTTTCTCGCCTGGGATGTGAGCTCCCACGTTCAGGATAAGCTGAAGCAGCAAGAGGATCACCTGAAAACGAAGGCGCTGGCACTGATAAATGGGCGTGTTGCAGGTGGTTTTAAAGGGGGACAAAAGGAAACACAAACCAATTTTAAGGGGCCCGTATCTTGCGAGCAACCCAAGTGAAACCCTAAACAGCTTGGAAAGATCAGACCGGTTTCTTGAACCAAATCCTTGAATAAGACCCCCAACTCAAGGGACTTGCGTGGATTTGTCCCGAAGCCATCCAGGGCCTGTCCCAAAGGCGCCCAAAGCTTGGGGATGTCGCCACCGACAAATCGACACGGGCGAACCTGGTTGACGGCATAGACCCAGCATCCAATCTCCACTTGATTTGGCACAGACCTCGGCTCCAAACTGAAGTCCACGATGCTTTCTCTGTGAGGTCTTTTGGAAAATCCCCCCCTGGTGTATGTTCGATGGTCCCTACCCAGACCTGATGCAGGGCAGCTCTTCCCACTGGTCCCACCCTTTGCGCATTTGGTATCTTCTATGCCTTCCAGGACTTCATAAACAGATCTGACGTGCGGAGATGCGCGTAAGCGTGAGTGACTCTGCAGCAACATCGAGTACCATCGATTGCGCAGAAAGCCAAGACACTGGTTGGGATTTGTTGCAGTCCCCATGAATCAGATCGAGCACTTTGAAGGCGGAATCCCTGAAAAGGAGTTTGGTGCCCTTCGATTGACTGGCCTTAAAATGGCATCCTCAAAAAAATCCCAAGTTGTGGTGGGAAGGCACCCCAAAGGCAAGAAAGGAGAAGCCCGCACAACGTACCAGGACCCTCCAGCTACTCTTTAAACGGGATATTGGCCCAAAATGATGAGCAAATTCAGCAAAAGTCACCACCCTTCGCGGGAAAACCTCCGTTCCGATCCCAACAGTTTTGGGAGCGAGCCAAAAGGCGACCGCTTCATCAGGATGTAGGCCAGCGCATCAGAGTTGTCGCGCATGGCCACCATGCCCGTGGGCAGCACCTAGCGAGCGAGCCGAACGCCAGCGAAACAGCTTGCCTCAGCTTCCCTCAAAACAGTTTGGATTGGAGGGGTGGCTTCCGCACTTGGGGAAGTCAAATCCCCAAACCAATCCAAACCCCGGATTGAGGGGTTGCTCGAAAAAGGGTGGAGAAGCACATTTCCGGACAAGCCAGGTGACAAATTAAGCAAGTTGCGGCGGTTGGCACTGTGCTGAAAGCTTTGGATCAGAGCGAGGGTTCCGGCAAAAAGTTGGCCTTTGTTGGTCTCATACGAGGATCAGAAGGACCATAGGAGACACTTCAAACAACCCACCAAATGGGAAGATGTTTAATGGTCATTTGAAAAGGCCAGGAATATCGATCAACCTGCATACGGGTCGCTGGTTGTGGGAAACAACCCTTTCTACGATAGCATCTCCTTGATGACATTTCACGGTGGACTCCTTGGTACTGTGCTGGACACATTCCTGCACCAGATGGTAGGCGGTTAGCCCCAGTATTCATGAGGTGTCATGCATGTCTGGGTGCAGGTTTGAAAGTTTGGCCATCAACTGTCCATATGGCCATGAATCTTCCAACCATAGGTGGTTGGCCATGAATGACCACCAAAGGATCCTGAAGGTGTGCACAACTGGCGCCAGAAAACCACACCTTCAAATGGGTATAGCGCGTCCAAATAAAGGCTGTGGACCCCCAAAGTGGGTGTTTTCCTTGTTGTGTCCTTCAAGCCAACCCCAAAAGCCGTACCCTCAAAAAAGAACACGCACAAAAACTGGCTTTCAGACATGCCCATTGCCTGGTCAGCGGGGATGCTGACGCCGTCACCCACGATGGATGCCTGGCGAGCAAACCGAAGCGACTGGAAACCCCAAGGGACCCTCAAGCTAAGTCAAAGTGAGAAATACCGAGCGACCCGAAAAGCAACGCCCCATTTTGGGGTGCTCCAGTACCATTTTGGGGTGCTCCAAGTAGAAAAGGTGCGAAAGTCTCCCTATATATACTCAACCTAAACCTACGCGCAAGGCATCCTAAACCTGCTCCCAACCCTGCACCCATCCTACACCCAAATAGAATTCGAAACCTGCCCGACAACCACCCGAAGCTCGCCCTCGAACCACCTCGAACCAAGTAATCGTGACCCCAGCCCTAAGTCCATTCGAAACCCACCCGAAAGCCACCCAACCTGGAACCCTACCCAAGCCTAGGGAAGGAACAAATCCTGGTTGACAAGAGAAATCATGCACAACCAAAAAAGCAAAAAGCAAAAAAGGCAAGCCAAGTGCCGGCCATGAAAAAGGGGCGAAACGCTCAAATCTACGCTTCGAGATGTCGGCCTCCTCCACACAGCAGCCGGGCTTCAGAACCACCGTGTTTGCCACCTTACGACGGCCACGCAAACGGCATGTGATGGGTGTCTCTCAAAATGGAGCCGCACAAAAAATGACTTCCTTTTGGTTGTCAAAGGGTACCAAGCCTCCAACAACACACACACACACACACACACACACTCCCATGCACGCGAGAACACGTTGAAAACTGTTGGTGTTTGCCAGGAAGCGATCGCTCGGCTCTTCAGCACGATCTTGTTGCACTGCTGCTCGTCCATTGCTGTAGTTAAAAGTGCAACATTTCCTGGCAGGCCAACAAATTTCTGGCGCGCGGTCGGACTGTCCGTGCTACAGCCTTGCCTGTGACTGTGGGACGCCCTTAAGTGCCTTCAGCCCCCGGAGCCGACCAGAAAAAAGAAAAAGCTGCCAAGAAAAGGACTGGGTCTATTGAAGCGACGTCCTCTATGCTGCCTTGTAAATTCTGGTTTGAAGGGCAACGTCCCCTCATCCCCTACATGCAGTGGTGAGAGCCCCTCAAACTGTTCACATGGACCCTCGAACTACCGGTACAACCTAAACAAAATACCCATGATTTTGAGGCATAATTTCCAAAGGCAGTTTGCGGGTCCGGGCACAATTGCTGGAACGGAGCTGTGAGTAGTGAAAAGGCGTCCAAGCAAAGGCATAATGCCTACCGCTCCCTTTGAAGGCACCGGGGTGTTCGAGACATCACCGGCCCTTGTTGGGTTCCATATCAAATGCCTGGCCCTGACTTTTGAGGTAAAGCCCCAGGAGGATCCACTGAAACCCTCAACCGGCGTAGAGCGCCCTTTCGCCTGCCAGGATCACATTGTCTCCAATCTCCACGAGCTCGGGATCCGGCACAAAGGGAGCGCAAAAGTAGGCCTCAGCTCGCCGCCTTTGCGCCAACCCCAACGCGTAGAAGAAAGCCGTCCCCGCAGCCGCCACCCGAAACCCTTCCAGCCCAAAGCCATCGACCCCGAAGCTTGCAGCGCTCAAAAGACTATCCCTTTTCAAAGCTCGACCATGTGGCACCCAACTCCGCCCGGTTTTGGTTGCGCTCAGTTGGGAACATGGTGGGGGACAAAAAAGAATATCTGTGGTACCAAAGTTGGATTCCCGTCCCCTTTACGAGTTTATCACTTGAAAGGGGATTCCCTTGGTATCAGAGCAAGTGGCCCTACAACCGAGAATCTGCGATCGCGGAGATTTCTCTTATTCAGTGCCACTTTCTAGGGAAAAAAACGAAAAGAACACCCGGGCACCGAGAAAAATCACGCTCCCTTAAAAAGTTGCAACTTCAAACTAGAACATCAACATGGTTGGCCTCTTTCCCCCAAGTCTCCCAAAAAAACAAGTTTCAACCCACCCGGATCTCTTGGCTAGCCACACGCTTGCCGATTTTGCAGCCCAGCACTTGGAACTGGAGCTTCGTCAGGTGGCTCATGATCTCGCGAAAGCGGCGCGGAGCTTCGGGCATTGTTGGCTTAAGAAGGAAAGCAAAAGGACCGATCGATTTTCGGGGGCTCCCCAATTTTAGGGCAAACCCAGCTTTTGTGAAACGCGTCCCAAAATATATTGGACAGTTGGGAACCAAAAAACAAGAATGGAGTGCTGAACAACTGAGCATTGCTCATAGAAAAACACTGCCTCTTTTCACGCAAAAATCACTCTGCATCTCAGGCACCGTGAGCTGAGTAGCCAGTCTGAACAGCGGGCCTCACGTCTGGGCTCGCCGAACGGCGTCGTTCGATTCAAGTAAATGTCAAAACCCACCTAATCAAATGGCCCTTCCTCATTGCAGGTCCCTTCACAGTACCGTTTGATTCTTGTTGGGAGCTGCAAAAGTCCCAAGCTCCAGGCGGTAATTCATGAAACATGTGAAACTCGACCATCTTCCTTGTCAAATGGGTTCAAAACTACTTCCCATCGGGTTGCACCGAAATTTCTCAGCCAAGGCACAGTCAATGAGGGCGCAATAGAACCACAGCTTCCACGCCCGGCTGGTTTTAGGAGTGTGCGCACTTGCAAAGCCCACGATCAGGTACCTTGCGAGGGGTTGGACAAGGTCCTCTTCAAAAGTTGATCCTGTACAATTAACTGGTGGCTTCCGCTGAGTTGCCACTCTTGGAGTCTTGGGGGGTCCAACAAGGGGGGGGGGGGGAAGGGCAAAAGCATTGTAGCAACTCCTGGGGTGCAGGATTGGTACCCCTTGTCCAAAAGGCTCAACCATGTACCACCAGCTGTCGAGAAACTGGCAACCTCTAACCAAGTGTTCCCCGTCGATGGGGCCCGCGAACTTCCGGACCCAAGTTCCAAGGCACTTGGCCAGAACTACGCAGATGAAGTAGGCCTGCGGCACTACGAAGAAGACCACCTCGGTGTTCGCTTTGATCGCTTTGAGCTAGGGCAAGAATTTCCCGAGGTATTCAAAAACACTGCTAGGGCTTTGGACCCTGTTGGTTTCCCTTTTCCAACCTGAAAAGGGTTTTAGCCTGCAAAACATGCACCAACCCAGGGCAAATGCACGAGGTAAGTGATTGGCAACCACCTGAAACGGAAACACGCACACTTTCAGCAAGCGCGGTCATGCGTCAGGTAAGTGGTTGGTAAGGGAACACTAGGAGCTCATTCATGGATATGAATCAAATAAACAGGTAACCAGTGTCTATGAATCAACCCCCAAGGTTATCGGTCCCCTTTCTGGGGGGGGGGAGGAAGCCGCCGCTCGGCGCTTTGTAAAATCTGTAAGTTGGAAATGGACCTTGGAGTGGACATTCAAAATACAAGCTCCTTTTACGCAACCAACTTTGTACTCCAGGGTCATGGAAATTGCCTGTTCACTTGAATGACACAATTGGGAAATCTGCCATACGGAAGACGAACTCCCCTCGATGAAGGGTTCGGATTCTCCTTGTCACGAGTTTGCCGTGCCAGTGGAAAAGGGGGGGCCAAATTTCGAGTGGCCTTACATGAGGGCATGCGGGAAGCCCTTTTGATTCTTTACCGCGGGTTTTGTGAAAACCGGTAAACCCCTTCGCACCAGGTTTTGATGACTCAAGCCCTCTCATAGAAACCCATCCCGCCAAAAGGAGAAGGAAAGGAAGCCAAACCCACTCCTTTCCGTTGTATCCCCGACTCGTGCACACAGATGCGCATGGAGTCCCAGGTGCCAGCGGCAGGACTACCCAGAAGAGCAGATCCATGTCGGAGGTCTCCAGCGTCGAGCCGGTGAGCCCTGTCCACCCGAGCGATCTCCGGCACTGTGTTCGAACCGAAAACCCGGGCATGAGCGACGATGGGTAGGGGCACAAAAAAAAACCAGGGAGAAATCATCAGAGCCATGTGCAGGATGAAGTCACCAGAACCCACAAATGTATGAAGCTTCCAGGTAGTTACACCGATTCGGGGGAAATTGGGTCCCGTAAAGCGGACACATCTTGATGTCTGACGTGACGGCCTTCGGTGCCCGGGAAACGCGAAATAAAACCACCATCTAGAGGGTCAAAGCGTGTTGTTTGAGGATGTCTTACAAAAATAGACCCAGTTTGCCTGATCATTTCCGGAGTGGAGATAAATTGTGTTTGAATCAGGCCCGACATTCATCACCACCAGGCTCCCGGAAATCTGCGATGGTCATGGGATTTATGTCAACACCAGTCATTCTTGAGGGTGCCCGTCTATTGAATGTCAAATGTGGATGTGATGCCTCCGTGACACTGTGAAAAAAAGTGGGAGTCGCTCCTTTTTGGGTCATTTTGGCCGGGGCGTGGAGACAGGCAAACCCCATTGTCGGGATAGTTCAAGATCCAAGAACGACAGGCTTCCTTTTGGCCTCCTTTTAAACGAATCTACCAGCAGCCCCAAACCCCTTTAAAAACCTGGCTTTTGAAAAACCCGGTTTTGGGCGGCCACCACCTCCTTTCTTCTGCAGTTTGGGGCCTAACAAGAAGGGGAGCCAACACACACACACACACACACACACACACACACACACACAACACACACACACACACACACGCCCAGGCACACGCACACGCACACGCACACGCACACGCACACTCCCAGGCAGGCACGCACGGATAGACGCATGCACTCGAACCATCCCACGTTCCCGGTGCCTTCCGTCCAGGCTCGCGGCAACCTGAGGGAAAGTGTTGCCGCAACAAGTTCTCTCTACAAAAGATACGTCCCTTCAAACATCAGAAGCGGAAACTCATCCCCTTTAAACATCCCCAGCTCTCCCAAAAAGGCCCCTTTAAACATCACCCAAAACTCATCCAAAGTTGAATATGGCTTTGAAATCAAAGTCAAATTGGCCAGATGTGATGTTCAAACGCCAAAACGGAACCCTAGTGTAACGGCTCCCGTGTAGGAGAAGGCCAAAGGAGAAGGAGGGCAAGGGCAACCAAACTAGGGGAACCGATTCGATGGTGGACACAGAAATGGTAATTTGTTGGGTGCCTCCTTTTTTGAGGCCTGTGGTGGATGCCATTTAAGTCGTGACTTGGCCATGGGTCAAAAGCCCGTACCCCCAATGAACATCCCAATCCCCACTAAACTAGGTTCTAAAATGGGTGGTGCACCGAAAACCCCTAAAATGGTACCATTGGTTTTGACCACCACAGTCCGCCCACCACTTTGGAGGTGGTCCCTTAATAACAGTCGTGGCCATATGCAGCTCTGTCCCAGCAACTGCAACTCAGCGTCGGGAAAAACCGAGACTTTTGTTTGAGATCTCAGCTCCCTGGCTTTGCCATGAAACCCGAGATGGTCTGAAAATCGGGTCCTGTGGGCGCATTTGCCCCAAATGGTATGTAAAAACACACGCACAAGCACACACACACACACACACACACACTGGATGTGTGAAGTCAAACCAACTGCAAACCTGTTCAAAGGCAAACCAGAAGGAGACCAAACATGTTGTTGCCCCCCAATGCTTGAGAAAATGTTCTGGCCTGGCCGGACTCGCTGGTGCTGGCAAGGGGGAATCAAAGAGAAATCGTGGCCCAGTTCACCACAAAACAAACGTCTCTGGGTTTGTTTCCTAGGGAAGTAGTTGCCGGCGCTGTTGGACGGGTGGGGTTGGGGTGGGGTTGGGGTGGGGGTGGGGTGGGGCGGGGTTGGAGTGGGGCGGGTTTTGTGTCTGCGCTGTTCTTCCTCCGAACTGAGGGGTTGCAACTCGAATCGGGCGCCAAAACAAATGCTCAGCTCCCCATGCTTGAACGGATTCGCGGGGCCTTTGATTCAGTCTGGCTGGCAGAGGCTGTGTTTCTTTGTTTCTGTCAAGGGGAACCCAGCCCACTTGGATTTGTCTCAAAATTGGGAAGCTCCCAAAATGAGTGTTTCCTATTAGTTCCCTTTTAAACCCAAAATGGGCATCCTCGAAAACAGACACTCCCTTTCGTGGCAAAGGGAAACCAAACGGGGAGGCACCAAACGGCGGGACAGTTCAAACATTTACGAACCGATCGCATCGGAAAGCTTTTGCGCAAGCCGAGATGCATGAGGCCAACAATGGCTTGCTCTGTGGGCAGCACGTGCATCACGGCCACCCCGGCGGTGACAGACAGACACACGAAGCCCCCAAGGACGTAATACCTGGAGACCAAAATGGGTGTGTGCGTTTTTGTCACACATACAGTAGTCAAATGGAGTGCATGATTCATGACAAATAGTTGGACTTGTGTGATGACTTTGCGGGTGTTCCAAGCACCCAAATGTTGAACTGGAAATGGACCTCTTGGTGTACAAAAAGATCTGCTTGCTTTTTGTTAGCCGCGACGTCCATGTCAACTTCGGAGTCCCTGGAGTCGGTCCATATCCATTATTTGGCAGCAGGATAGGCCCCAGTGGCCCCTTGTGGGGACAAATGCGCATCCGCAAGTTGACATGCGGCCATGCGGACAGTCCACCTCAGGGGTTGCTCTGGAAAGCTGAGCTGTTTGATGTCATGAAAAACTTGACAGTCACAGCACGCTTGACAACCCTCTTCTTGCTCATAAAGTCGAGTTAAGGGCCAAAGGGTCACAGCGATGGAATTGTCTTTCAAGTTCGGGAAGCCAGTTTCACTCTTCTTCGGGTGTGGCCGTGAATTCTGCAATGGACCGTGATCCGAATTGGAGGCACGATGCTTGCGGTTTTGGGGGGAAAGCCCCCGGAATGGAGAACTGCAGTCAGAGCGGCAATAAACAGCCTTGCAGCGCGGCCAGCCACAGATGGGACGACGACTTCTTGGACTTCGCATGACCTCGGAGGCGGACGCGGACGATTCGTGGGCATCGTTCTTGAGGGCCCGCTCGGATGCAATGCCGCTCTTTGGCGTAACTGCCGCCTTTTTGAGCGGTTGTTTGAGAAACACCCATGTGCGGCTGACATGGTCTTGCAGGGACTTTTGGATTCCGTCCCCATAAAGAATCAGTTGCGGCACTTGAAACACGGACTCCCTGAAAAGAGGCTTGTGCACTTTGACTCGGGTTTCAACCCACTCGCAAGAAATCCCATACACTCGAGAGCTTACACATCCTGCTTAAATGAACAACATAAACTTCACCAGGGCTCCCAAAAAGGGTCCCCCTCACACATCACCCTCGAATGAAACGAAACTCCCTTTTCATGGGCCCAGGTGATGGGAAGGGAGCCCTGTCAAACACCCTTCAGATGACAAAAATCGGAGTTCTGCGGACAGAATCCTGTGCCAGTGATGGACGAAACCTCATGAGAGATGAACCACCTACCAACTTGTGAAGGATTTTGTCCACGGTATCACAGAAGTGCAAAAGCAACCTCCGCACCCTCAAGAGTCGACTCAAGAGTATTGCTGTGAGTATTGCGGCTGCGAGTACCCTGGGCTTCTGGTTTCCGTTGGTTAGCTAGTGACCTAGTGGTAACTGGAAGCACTGGGATTGGGGACCCCAATGTCTGCAACGGGACTTGTCCACCACTAACTTTCACCCGCGCCAATTTTGATTGTGGCTCAAAACCGGTGACGCCCGCTTCGGCCATTTTAGTTGGGACCCTTTGACATCAGGTTTACATTGGATTCATGCAACCGGCAAGCACTTGGGTATAAACGAGGGATTTGGAGCCCCAAAAATGGGGGGGTGTTCCTTTTGGTGGCCCTTTCAAACCACCCAAAACAGGTTACCAAATCAAAAAAAAAAACACATTTGTCCATTGCCGATGTGTGTTCCAAAGGGCTGTGCACAGCGAGTCTGGGCCAATCCGAATCGCCCCCTCACCACAAAGACCCCGCAGTGGTCCAACACATAGCCAATAGCTGTGGGGGTGATCTTGGGCTGTGAAGCGTTAACCAGAGCCCCAAAAAGGGGCGGAGAAACCCATGAGACAAGCCTTGGCTGAGGCTGCGCTTGGATTGGTCTAAAGGGATAGCCACGAGGAAAGCGCCCAGATTTTCTTGGGTTTTGGGGACGCTGCGACACCAGCTGCAGTCCAACCCATAAAAAACAACGAGGACAGCCGGCCTTTTCCAGACCTTCTCTAAACCATGTCAGCTTCCAACTGTGTGACAGTCGATGGCACAAAACCCCGGTGAAGATGATGTGCATGCAAATGATATCGATATGGATCAATTGGAAAGTATCGTGATAATATGTTGCCTTCCTTTTTTGAAGCTGGACTAGAATAGACTCGACCAGAGGCGACATGCGCCATCAATGTTCACCAAACTGATACAAAGACGGGCTGAAAAAATCCAAGCAAACCTCAAAACGAGAGGGTAAAATAATCCGCTGGTTTTGACCAACGAATGAGACCCAACATCAAGCCCTCTGAAGGACGACTTTTCAGTCGCCCAAACTTACATGGTTTTATGGTGACCATGTTCGGTGCTGCCTCCACGAAGTGTCACTTGCCTACACCCTTTGTCCCCCCAATATGCTCATGCTGGTATAAGTTTCCATGTGGGCCATGACTATCCCTAACCATCCCCAACCAACCCTAACCCCAAGTGACAAGGGCGACCGAACCCCATACGGGCGCGGCTCCTCTTTGAGGGAAACCCGATGTTCAAGGAAGCCAAAAGCCACCTGTGAGAGGGTTCCCTAGTGCAGGCCCCATTGGCCTATCATTGTAAAAGTCACCCCCAGCCCTAGTTTCTGACATTGATAACCCCCAGAAACAGGGAAACTCATGGGGAGAAGGAATACCTTACTTATGCGTGGGGGGAAACAAACACCCCATTAAACGCCGTGTTGTACATCTCGGTTTCACCCAAACGAACGGCAGCCCAAACGGCACCCCATGGCCCTGGCCCTGGACTCCGAGCCACTCACAGAGCTCCGCACCGGCTGCGCCACCGACACGGCTTGCAGGGGCCGCAGGTGGGACCCCATGGGCAAGCTCACGTGGGGCCCCACCGTGGCGCCGTAGCCCACCTCAAGTCACCCGCGCTTCACTGGAAGTGTTGCGATCCAAACACAAAGATGGCTGGTGCGAGAGATGCAGGGAACGAGGGAATCAACCTGGGGAAATGAGCAAGTTTCTCAAGCCACAGATATTGCTCAGAGATTGTTTGAGGCAACCGGTGCTCAAAGCGCTTGAGCTCACCCTGACAAGGGGAAACGAACTTGGCAACCTAAAACCAGCAATGTCCACAACCAAGAACCCAGCTGAGCAGCCGAGTCCCAAGCTGACGTTTGACTAACACGGACCCCTTTGGGCTGGCCAGGAGTATATATATATATATATATGTGGTACCCCCCCTTCCCCCCTTCCTGGAATACTCAGGATTTTGTCCAGAAGTTGACATTTTGGCTGCAAAAATGCATGCAAAACACACGTTCCAGCTTCTAAAGTGAGGCTCTAAAAATGCACTCTTTTTTAGACTTAAATTCTAATCTAGCATTGGTACTTAGTGCAATCCAGGATGTGCTAGCACGTCACATCCTGGATTGAAGATTGAAGATTGAAGATTTGTTCTTGAAATCTTCAGTCCATCTTTAGGACAAACTGATATGTGCTAGCACGTGCTAGCACATCCTGGATTTGAAGATTGAAGATTGAAGAATCCCAGAGAGAGTTGTCAGAGAATCTTCAATCTTCAATCCAGGATGTGCTAGCACGTGCTAGCACATATCAGTTTGTCCTAAAGCTGGATTGAAGATTTCCAGAACAAGTGGTCTGAGAGTCTTCAATCTTCAATCTTCAATCCAGGATGTGCTAGCACGTGCTAGCACATCCTGGATTGCCCTAAGTACATATTTGGAGAATTTCAGAAAGAGTTATCAGAGAATCTTCAATCTTCAATCCAGATCCTGGATTGCCCGAAGTGCGGATTTGAAGAATCCAAAGGCAGACCGGGAGTGCACGTTGTCAGAATCAAATTGCGGATGTGCACTTGCACGCCTGCATTTTGTTGAAACCTTTACAGTTTTTTTCATGCACTTGAGGGCTGGCCAGGATGGAAGATTCTCAAATAGCAAATCTGGTTGATCTTCAATCTTCAATGCAGCGGGCAAAACCTTAATGAATCTAGAACAAACTGTCAAGTTTTTGGGAGACAAGGATTGAGGATGTTCTAAACATATGTTTGTTCTTCGATTCAGGGCAACACGATCTGAGCAAATGCTGAAAACACTGTGTTTTACAGCATTTATGCCACGAATAAGATCTATGATTGAAAACACGCTCCTGTCATTGGCTTGGCTCAGTTCTTGCTGGGTTCAAACCACATGGAGTTTGATAAGGACAATAACCCTTTCAAAATTGAGTTTGGTTCCAAATTCATTTGGCCATGACAATAGCTATCTTCTCCAGTTGATTTTGGAAATGCACAAGAAACTGCAAACGAGTAAACTTGAAATTTTGTTTGAACTCGAAAGCGTTTTAAACTGGATATCCTTCCCGTACTTGAATTTCAATAGTTGTTATTGGCGATGATTGAACCAACTTAGACAAGCAACACACACATGGGATAGTTGCTTTGCAACATATGTTTCAAATAGACTGAACTAGCATGTACATGGAAGTATAAGCAACTGCGCAAGGGCATGAAGTAGCAATGAGTTCCTTTTCCCCAAGTTGGTGATTTGCTGAATATCATAGATAATATCGCTGCCAAACAAAAATAATACACACAAAATAGTGGAGCTGCTACAACCGCATTGAAGCTGCCAAAACATACTTTGCGCACTACTCTTGTACTGGACAGTTGTGCTTTTTGAGCTGGAGCTGCCAAAGTGCACTTTGCACGCCAAGGTGACACTCACACAGCTCCTATTCAACGTTCAGCTTAACTTTTGCTTGGTTGGAATTTGCATGGAGTTGCGCGTCCAGCCAGTTCATTTCAGAGCCTCAAGGCATTTGCCACCCCAGTCTGGCCAAAAACCTCAGTTCTGGCCAAAAACCTGAGTATTTCAAGGGGGGGTAGCATATATAAATATATATATATATATGTATTTATTGGATTCATGCAGCCGCAACCCATTTGTGATGGGGATTTCCAGCCAGCAAGGCGTGTACAACCTGGGTTGTGTTGCTGTCCAACTGAACATTACGCCAAAATAGTCTGGTGGAAAAAGTCATGTTGTAAATTGCCAACTGGTATCTTTCAAGAAGCGCCACCAAGAGTCCAAAGCATGTACCAACCAAAAGAACCGCTTAAACACGGCGGCGGTGGTCTGGTTTGGAGGACTTTGAAAACCTTCCTATCTGGGTTGAAGCGTTTTTTTGCAGTTGATGCTGCTAGACTACCATTTCTGAGCCTGTGGTGTCCGTTTGCTATCAGCCATCTTGTTTGTGGGGAGAATCCCTTGTTGGGCCTTTTTAAAGAAAACTGAGGGGAAACTGACCCTCACTTGGGCAGGGCTCGGTCGGCAAGGCGCATCCCTCTGATGGCAAGCCCCGCCTCTATGCATTGATCCGCTTGTCTTGGCTATTACCCCCTGCCCCAAAAGTTTAACTTGTTGTAGGTGTGTTGCCAAAAGCTAGAGGTCAAAAGATCCAACCCAGTAGCCAACCAACCCAACCCAACCCAACCCAACCCAACCCAACCCAACCCAACCCAACCCAAGCCAACCAATCAACCAGTGGAGTTTTGCGACAGATCATCTTTGAGCCCGTTCCAACAATGAAGCTGGTACTCAGCACCCGGACGCCAGATGCCCCACAAAGGTTCGCCAGGAACCCCTTCTGTTCAAATTGCACGCCGACTTGCAGACAGGCTGCGAAGCAGTCCTTGTCGATGGTGACTTTGCCCAAAATCACCCACCTCGGGCCAAGACTGAAGCTGGAGGTGTTTGGCGTGCCCAACACACTGTAGCGTGAGCACCAGTTGCCACCTTTGCCAGTTGCCCACCCCCCCATGAAGCCAAGAAATCTCACACGCGTCTCGGGGATTTGAGGAGGGCAATCGCATCGCGGCCCAAGTCGCCCATCATTCTCAGTGGTGATGTGGCTCGGCTGGATGTTGCAGGCCCTATCCACTGTGCTACCTGATCCGCTTGAGAGCATCTCAACACTCCCAGCGTTCTGCGCACAAACAAAGCAACAGGCCGCCTGAGCTTCTGTCAGCACCCTGCAGGTCAATTCGGGACGACCCCAATCAAAACCTGTATTCCTGCACAGGTATCCATCCGAGGTCCTTCTCGCACCCTCGGAATCCCCCCCCGGCGAGTCGTCCCCTTCCGCGCGCCTGTGCGTATGCGGAGGAGATCCAGGTCTGTCAAGTTGGAGCTATGGATCTCCGCGGAGTAGGAGATGTGCGCCCCGCAACCTTTCCAATCGGCCCCGCTCTTTGCTCCTCTTTTCTTGATGGTTGGGCGCTCCCGACATGGCGAGAGTGTCCCCCCGTGTGCTTGAAACCAACTCCGAGAAGGACCCTCAAGAAAGGCACGGGCCGTTTCGGGCCAAGGAAACCGAAGTCGTATCTTGGCGACCTTCACGCGCGCCATGATCATCCCCAAACCTGTACATCCGGGCGGTTCTAGACCCTTTCAAGATTTGCTCCAGGCTGCAGAAACGAACCCCGTTAAGACAAGGGCACCCAATTTGGATGAACCTCGGGTTCACAGTGGTTACACCCACCTTCGTCATTTTATGATGGGGAAGAGGGAGGCCCAGAAAAAAGTGGCGGCTGAAACTCAAGCCCGTATGCTTAGAACGCGATACGTTGAGCATCTCTAGGGATGGAGCGCACAGCACCAAGCATCAGCACAAATCGAGAACCACTCACCCACCATATCTTGGCCATGGGGCGGTTATAGAAGAAGATCAACACCGAAGTGCCTCTGAACCTGGGAAAGTGCAGCGCAAATGCAAGCAATGTGGTGTCCGCAGTGCAACCGCGTACGCGTGAAATTGACGTGGCATATGGCTCTAAAGAGCCATGCGGCAGCGCTAGGAAGGGGTCAATGGCCTGGAACAAGTTGTAGATGCACAGCCACCTGGACGGGCGCGAACATGGGTTGAATCTGAGTTGAGTCTTAGTGGGTCCCGGACCCTTTGGTCGACATCTGAATTCGGTGGGGATCCATGTCCACCCACCACTTTTGAAGGGGGTCCCTAGTCATATCTGCCCCGTTTTCTCGGCTACAGACAGTTGCTCGTGTCAGCCAGTCTGTGCCCCATGCCCCTCCAGTTTTCCTCATTCTTGGCCCACGGTTCTCTCAAATGTTTACTGCAATGCACTCTTTGGCAGCTCTCCATCTGTTTTGATTCAGAGCCATAAGGAGAGGCACGGGGTCACGGATGCTTGCCAGTAGTCACCTTTGGGTCGCAGTTGATTTTCTTGTGGCTCTGAATCAAATGAATTCAGTGCCATGGTGCTGGTAGTACTGCGGCGAAAACAGCTTGATGGTGCCAGGTACACTTCGACCGATGACGAGCCACTTCATCACGACCACCTCCGGTCAAGACATAGGTGTCTTAGCATCGGGGGAACCGGCCAAATTTGCCTGAGTTGATTTTGATTAAAAAAAAAAAAAAAAAAAAAAACTTTTTTGAGGGGCTGGAAAAAGGGAAATCAAAAGGACCACACTTAAATGGTGGGTTGATTTTGAGGGTACCCCCTTCTTTGAGGGTGGAAAAGGGCAAATCAAAAGGAAGCCACACTTAAATGGTGGGTCCCCTGAAAGGTGTGCACCCATTGTTCACCTAAGGAGATTCCACCTAAATTGGGCCCTTGCCGATAATGGGAATCGGTAGGGTAGCGGCTCGCAAACAGGTTCAAGACGATCAAACCCAATAAGAATTGCACCTAGTACTTTCTGCCTTTGACATGTGTAATGTAAGGGCAGCATTTGAGGGTGTCTTGTTTTGAGGGTGTCTTGTTTTGAGGGTACCTATTTTTTGTGGTTGTAAAGGGAAAAGGAAAAGCCACCCATTTAGTGGGTGCTCCTAAAGAAACACCCACTTAACTATTTACGGAAAGGAGATCCGTATGAGGGGCACCATGATTAATCACCGACCAGTTTCGGCAAACAAACCCACGACCCCATCAGAAACCTTTAGGCCCTTATACTAAACGACTAAAAGTTCCAAAGAAAAGGGGCCATGTGTTGAGCCATATCTAACAGGCCTACAATGGGTAGTAGAAAGTAGAATCAGACGCAACTGACAACTGAGATGATAATATAAATGATATCGAGACACCCTCATCAAATTCATACACCATCAAATCGCACAAAACTAAACTCCGATTTGCAACTGTTGATGTGGGTGTGTTTGGGCGTGGTCTTTCCCTGGCTGGTGCCGACTCCGGCGAAAACAAAGAAATCGCGGGCAAAATGAAGGGGAGGAGGGAGTTTCGCTAAACTGGGAAGTTGCGCCTGGCCCTGCCCTTGCCAGAAATACAGGGACCCAAACCCTATTGGTCTATAATCCACCAACCCATAAAAAGAAATGGTATTTGGAGGTTACAATGGTTACAGGGGTTGAAATCCACTGTCACCCGGGCACCCGCAAGCCCTTGGACAGATTCTTCCAAGCCCTCCTCCTTCGCTGCCACACACCCTAAGAGTTGTCGCGGGCTGGGGTTCCTCTGGCAGCTCCCGCAAAGTTGGTGATGTTCCCTTAAAGTCCTTCACTCCAAGAGGAGGCCACTAGAGTGAACCAGCTGTCTTTTCTGTCAGTTGCTCACACGAGTTCAGAGGTGTACGCAAGGTTGTTTGCCCACTGGAGGCTTGCAAATTGCGGCCAAAGAGCGAACACCATCAGCAGAATGATGCTGAGGGGCCAGATAAGAGGAAGAAAAATCAGAGTCCTGGGCCGCACCGGAAAGGACCTGTTGTTTGCAGTTTTAAAGGAAACTCAAAAGAAAACCCTCCATTTTGCGCCCCCCCCCCCCCAAACAAAAAACAAGCGCCACTTGAGGAATGGTCATGATGTTCATGCTGTTGGTTCCCCAAGAGGACATGGGAAAAATTTGGTTCGTTGTTTCTGCAGCCACAATGTCGAGCTCGGCCGAACCCCAAATGAACCATAGACTGGAAGTGAAAAAGAGCTAGCAGACATGTGTTCCAAAACCCCAATGCGCAAATTGCGTTACCCACTCGTTTGAATGGTGCCAACCCCTGACAAGAACGGCATTGACCATGGGAAGCCAAGCGTTTCCAAATGTACCCTACGAAACGTGGGGATACTTGGAGTAGGGTGCGGCTGGGGCTTGAATGAGCCACGCCCCCAACCCCAAACTGACCTACCACAAACCTTTTGACCCTAATGGTTGGCCTCAGGAATCCGACTTGCCATTTCTCAAGCAACACCACAAGGGCCACCTTTCTGGATATTCGCCTCGGCCCAGGACCGGGAGGCAGTCAGCCCTTCACCTAGCCGTGCCCCAAAAAACTGGCCCTGGTTTTGCAACAATGTGTCTGGGTTCCCTTTTTCCTCGAATCAAAAAGGAAAGACAACCCCTAACACTCGGCTTGACGCTGCGCCAGGTGTCCAATAGCAGTTGCCGCACCCGTAGTGGTTGGCCCACCAGAGCCAGCCTGGCGGTGAGAAGCTAAACCCGTGTGTCCACCGGAAACCGTTCACTCATTGTTGGGTTGCAACGATGTATTTTGGGGTTGTGTTGGAGGGAACTCCACAATTGCTGGCTTTGGGGTTTCCAACAATTGTAATTGATTCTAGGGATGTTTGTGTTTTGGTCTGGGTTTCTGTTGACCATCTTCGTTTCTGGCTCATCAAGAAAAACTGGCAAGGGTCAAACAACGAAGTCCGCCACTGGGCTTTTGACATTAAGACAAGTCCAAGGGCTCAACTTATGGCCTTGCCACATTTTGAACGGGAAGTCATGGACGATCCACGTTATTTGGTGCCGGGCGTCAGTGGATTGGCCAAAAGTCCGAACTTGTTGTTTGCAAAAGCGACTAAAGTGCGCGTGCGAGTGACCAGAGCAAGCACGAGCAAATTCCAACTCAGGGAGTGAGCCCCACAACCTCCAAATACCCATGAAGGGTGTGGTGTCAAGCCTGACTAAGAAAAGCTGACATTTACCGTGGAGAGGCCAAGCTCTCCAACGTACCGACGCAGGGCCCTGTTCCTTTATGCCGCAGAAATCGGCATCCACCGCGGGAAACGGGTACGCTGGCCTGCCCATGCCGCGAACAACACTGGGACCGTCAGCACCTCAGAAAAATGCGAGTTTGGGCGCCGACGAGAGGGCGGTGTCCAACTCCAAGACTTCGGTAGGCAGAAGAAGACCAAAGAAACCAACCACAAGAAAGCTGTAGCTCTCATTCAATTACTTGATGGTGCAAGATTCCAGCCCCCAATATATTAGAAGTATCCAACAACTTCTGCGAAGTGGCCAGGGCAAAGGAGAGCAAAGCCTTGGTTTCTGCAGCTCTAGTTGTCCAGCTTTGAGCGAAAGGAAACCAATGGTTTCATACAAACACAACCGAATCTTTGGGCCATGGTCATGGTTGATTGGAACCCTCTTGTCTCGAGCCTCCCACCAGAAGAGCCGGCGAAGCTTCAACAAAAAGGAACTATATTCATTATTATCTTTCGCAGGTTCTCTCGTTCTCATTCTCGTTCTCCTTCTCTGCCTCTCTTTCTTGCTCTCTTATCTTTCCCTTTCTCTTCTCTTTCTCGTTGCTTTGTTTCTTTCCTTTTGTCTTTCTCTTTCTTCCCTTTCTACATTTGTCTGCTTTTGTGTGTCCTTCTCTTTCTCTTGCTCTTCTCTTTCCTCCCCTTTCTGGTTCTTTCGCTTCCTCTGGTCTTCCCTTTTCTCTTTCTCTTGAAGAGGTTCCTATCTATCTATCTATCCATCTATCTGTCCATCGGTCTATCTACATTTCTTGCAACCTATCCTGATCTATCCTGCTAGGGACCGATCCATCCATCCATCGATCCATCCATCGATCCCTCTATATGTCTGTGTCTCTCTGTCTCTCTACTTTACTCTCCGCGCTCTCGCTATCTGTCGTCTATCTGCTCGTCTACCTATTTGTCTTTCTTCTTTCTCTATCTACTACCATCTTGTTTAATCTATCTATCTTTCTAGCAGTCTATCCTCCCATCTGTCTATCTGTCTACCTGTCGCCATCCAATTCTTCGCCTACCTATCTAGTTTTTCCTGGGTATCCAGCTGTCTGTCTGCCTGTCCATCTCATCTCCATCTATCTATCTCTCTCTATCTACCCATCTACCCGTCTATCTAGCCATCTCTGATTTTCTCTCTATCCACCTCCACCAGTGTCAATACACCTATCTCTATCTATCTATCTGTCTCTATTTCTCGATCTATCCACCTATCCATCCATCTATCTATCTGGTTTCTATCCATCTATCGATCTATCTGTACCACAATATATGTTTAGATCTGTCCAACCTATCTTTTATCTAGTGTATCTATTTGTCCATCTATATCTCTATCTCTCTATCTATCATGTGTGTAGTCAGTCCAGGACTCTGCCATTATCTCTCTAGCTACTTATGTGTCTATCTATCTTTCTATCTGTGTATCTATCTCTATCTATCTACCTAGCTATCTATGTGTCTATCTCTCCGGCTACCAACCTAGCTCCTTATGTAGCTGTAGGAAATAGATGTATACATATTGTATCTCTCAATCCCTTGCAACCTTTCTTTCTTTCCAACTATCTATCAACTCGACTGCGCTCATCTATCTATCCATGTTTCTATCTTTCTATCTGTCCATCTGTCTTCTAAATATATATATATATATATATATGTATATACCTTGTCAATTTGTCTCATCCGTCGATTTACGAGTTTATCTGTCCATCTTTTGCTCTATCTATCTATCTATCTATCTATCCTTCTCATCTATCTCGCTTCTCTAACTATCCAACTATCTATCTATCTGTCTGTCTCCTATCTATCCATCGATCAATCTATCGACCGGAAATCTCTTTTGATTTTTCTGTCTGTCTATCTATCTATCTATCTGTCTCTGGATGTACGGATGAGTCCATCTCTCTCTCCCTCTCTTTCTCTCTCTCTCTCTCTCTCTCTCTCTCTCTCCCCCTCTCTCTCTCTCTCTCTCTCTCTCTCTCTCTCTCTCTCTCTCTGCTTGTCTATCTATCTATCTATCTATAAATTTTTCAGCGCATCCATCTTTCCATTTATTTAGCTTACTATTGCCAGTCTACGCGCCGACCTATCTACTTATGTATCTATCTGTCCCTCTGTAAGAATCTCTTTCCCTACCTATCTATCGCTCGTCTAAACTATTTATCTACCTATCGCTCGATCTATTGTTCTTTCACTCTCTCTCTCTCTCTATGGATCTATCTAACCTGTGTGTCTATCCATCTACCTCTCAATCCGTGTATCTTTGAATCTCTCTACCTTCCTGTCTGACCGATATGTCTATGCTTCCCTCTATCGTTCTATTCTCTATCTTTCTAGCTATCGATCTATCTGTCATCTGTCTCGCTCTGTTTATCCATCTACCTATCTTGCTCTATCTACCTATACATCTATCTATCTATTCTGTTTATCCATCTACGTCTATCTGTCATCTATCTGACTCTCTCTCTCTCTCTTGCATACACCGGTGTGTGCGTTCGTGCCAGTGAGGTTTGCAACACTCCCGCGCCAACATTGCGCAAACGCCGCGCCTGTCATCAAATCTATACTTGACCTTCGGAAAGTGCTGCGGCCATGAATTCAACACCTCAGCCTGCCAAAGCGCCGCCTAAACACCAACACCCTCCCACGCAATCTGTACCCCTGCTTGCCGAAGTGCTGCGCCTGCCACGCACAGCTGTCCGAGCCCGTTTCGGGACCCTTCCAAGCCCGATCCGAGCCCGCTCCGACCCCATCGTGCGTGCGTCAGGCATCGCGACAGGTAGCTTTCAGCCCGCCGGAGACGCCGAACACGCAGAGGGTCACTCTTGTTTGTGACGCTTTCCCCTGCCACACCCGCATGCATGTTTTCTCATACGCATTCAATATTTCTTCTTCTCATCTGCGTGCAAGACTACCTTTCATTTTCTATCTGTAACACAGAAGCTCCTTCTAAACTTCCTTTGATCATACCAAAATGAGAGTCATTGTTTTTTGGAGGAGGCATGGGTAAATTAGAGCTCCTCCCCTTGGTTCTTGCGGTCAACATTCGGCATGGCCTGCTATTTCCCTCCCAAATAGACCGAAGTTCATGCAAGTCGCACTTCTTGGGCTCGCCCGGCCCCAATCCTCCAAATAATCCTTGAAATAATCCCTGAAATCCTGAAATGGGGCCCAGTGTCCTTCTGTCCCATAAAAGGGTATCAACTCGAAGTCTGCTTCCTTAGACCCGGTCCAAATGCAAGCCAACCTTGCCCGAGGCAAGAAACCAAGTCAAGGCGTCTCAAAGGGCGGGCGTCCCAATGGGGTGGCTCTTCTTTTTGGTTTCCTTGCACCCATCAACTCATAAGACCTTCGCACACAAAACCGGATGTGAATGTCAGGGTCTGGGAAAAGGTAGCTTGTGCCACAACATCCATCCGCTGTGGGTTGGTACAAAATAGCAAGTATTTGTTTTTTTGGAAACAAATTCTTTAAAAAAAACATACATGAAGAAGGAAAAACACCCTTTTGCCTTTTGCTGGGTCTCCTAAAAGCAAACATGGAGCCTGAAGGGACCTCCAGCATGGACCATTCTCCCCCAGCATGCGAAACCCCGAAACCCCGAAACCCCCAAACCCGAAAAAGGCGATCCCAGCTGCCACGGGCCGCACCAGCAGCAGCAGCAGCTGCAGGAAGAAGCCCAGAGGACTCCACTGCCGCCACCTAACCCCAACACCCCTCCCGTATCGCAAGCGCTTACACGCCAAGGCGTAAGGGAAAGCCCTGGGTTTGACACCTTGCGCTTTGAAAGGGAAGACAGGCGGGAAACAGATTGCAACTGAAGGTGATGAGTAATTCTGAACTGGCAGCCCGTATCGAATTTGGATTTGGCATTGCCGAATTCCAGCTTGAGGGCATCCTTTGACCCCGGGCTTGGGCTTCCTTCCCCAGCCCCGAGTCCCCCAAAATCGCTGTTTCCTCTTGCGGCTTGAGACGACAGCGGCCCTGCCACGGCGAGTCTGGGCGTCAGGTTCGTGGCCTTTGCCTAGTTTTAGACCCACCCACATGAAGTGGTTCCATCTGGGTCGATGCCTTCCCAACAGATCCATCCCTCCCATGTTCCAAAGACAGGACCCCAAAACAGCCGACAAGATTCCCAGGTTTCGCCATGCATCTCTGGTCTCTGAGCAGGTCCGTCTTCATAGGACAGCCTCAAAATGACCCCCGTGGGGTGGCCCGAAGACAATTGTCGACCTTTTCCGGAAAGAAATCAAATGAGCCCCGAAAATACGTTCCCGCCACTTTGTTTCCCATGGCCTGTGGCTCTTGCGATCATTGACCCCGGCAATGGCTGCGAGCTCGAGTTTCTGCTCCTCCACTTCGTTCACCTCACGAACGAAGCTTTGCGTCGAGAGCTCGGAACAAAAGGCCCCTGGCAATCCAGGGTATGACGCATGTTTCAGGAGAAAGCATTAAAACTCATCGCTTTTTGCCTTGCCAGTTGCGGATATCCATCTTTTGTTTACCCGGTAGACTCCGATGCCGGTTTTGCTTGTGACCCACTTCGTGTTTTATAGGCGGTTGACGCCCCAAAGGTCCCAAAGTGTGGTTTACCGCTATCATCTGTCCAAGTCAAAAACGACCGGGGATGTGAGCAAAGTCATAAAAGGGCCGTTTGGGTTTTGGCCAGCAGGCTCGCCCGGAACCGGTTCTCAAGCTCAGAAACCTGGCAGGATAGGGTGGTTTCCGCCCTCTTTGAAACATGCGTCAAAGGTATGAGACACGAGCAACACCTATCAAAAGGGTCTACCCAAATCCATGTAAATCTAACTAAAGAAGGCCGCACCCGTTTATGGTTGGGAATGCTTCATATACCTGGGTTTGTGGCTACATGCCCCCATAGGTTGACACCCTAACACGGAATCCACCCGAGGGTCCCCGAAAGACTGCAACCAAACCACGAAAATGCAAGGCCCCCCGCCCCATGAGGTTCCAAATCTTGGTTCTCATACCAGGAATGGAATTGCACCGAACTGATCCATCCAGGTGGTTCCCCATCAAAACTGTGACTGTTTTGTGTTCCTTCTTTTTGTTCGAGTCTATTGCGTCTGGAAAAAAGAGATCTGAAACGAGGAATCAACATCGCACGTCTTGAGGGGCATGGCCAAAAAAGTCTAGACTCTTTGTTTGCCACTGAAACTCTCCAAATCTAAAAACAAGGAGTGACTCAAGTGCAGAACTGCGTAATCGAGCCGGGTGTCTTCTCTACGATCAAACTGAAGGTTTCTGTGCCATCATGTAATCATGCAACATCGGGCCATAGGGGCAACTTGGCTTTCCAAACCAAAAAACACCCAAGAACCCAATCTGTACCCGACATCCACCCGCTGTCCCATTGGGTGATTCACTTTGGGGGCTCTCGATTGGAAAAACCGAAGACCGCTCCGGAAGTCCGGTCCGTCCGAAGCGCCAGCACCAGGTCCGTGCGGGACTCGATGTAGCGAAGCCTCGGTCGCACAAGGAAGGCTCGGGACGCATGCGGAATCCTCGAGCAAGGGGTACAACCCAGGAGGTTGTTGTGTTTGCTTTTTATTTTGCTAGTTATTAATCTATGTATTGGTTTGAAAAAAAATGGGGGAGGGGGACAACCCGAACAAACAAACGGCTGACAGGCCCATATGTCTGGTGTAAGTTCCAATTCTTGATAGTTTGAGCGTCCATTCAAGGGAAACCAATGGAAAATCAATCATTTTGGGGCGGTGCCCTGCCTTGACACATCATTTGGAACAGGGGAGTGGGGGTCCTCGCAAACCTCAAACAAACATGGGTGTGTTTTTGAGATTACCCTTTTTCAGGGTTTCTTTGAAAGGGAAACCAACAGGAAAACCACATTTGTGTTTATGTATATTATTTGACTTTTATTTGTTGTTTGGTTTGTTTCTCGTATTTGTTTCTGTTTTTCTTGGGGGGGAGCCCTAGTTTAAAGCAGACCCACAGAGAAGCGCACTGGCCTTCTCCAACAAGGACAGTCTTCCAAAAGGAGCCTCTGCCCTCCCCTGTTATCCGCAGGGTAGTCCTTGACGAAAAAAGGAAAACGCACGCCTGTCCTTGCGTGCTTCCAAACAAAGGGCACGCCTCATTTATAAGCCGGTGTCCTTTTCGCTTCAAATTCAGCAAACGGGATCCCCGTTTTCTGGACACACCCACATGGGTACATGTGAAATAGACGGTCCCAACTTGGTGGTGGTGTTCATTCTGGGGTCCCTTTGAATCAACACAAGCACACACCCAACAAGTCCGGGACGCGCAAAACAGGCGCCACAGGCAAAAATACTTGTGCCCCCAACAGAGGACACGGTGGGTCCCCTGGTGTTTGTGGGAAATTGAGTGTCCCCCACATGGACCACAGCCTACCAGTGATTTTGGGACCCATTTAATTGACATGCCCAAAGGGCCCACTGTTCCCCATAGGCTGATGCCCTTCATGGAAACCACCCGAAGGTCCCTAGAAAATGTCAGGCCTCCCCCTTCATGAACTTCTATATCTTTCTCAAATGGGAATGGCCCCAAACTGAACCATCCAAGTGGTTTCCTAGAAACTGCCCTTCTGGTTCCCCAAAACCTACCGAGCGGGAATCCACATTCCTGGATCGCCAATCGCGAATCGTTCCTTCCCCGTCAATTGCGACTCTGTGTGGGGTGGAATGAAAGAAAACACACTTTCCGGAGGGTTGAATTCCGTCCTGACTCTCGGGTTGAAAGGAAAACCAACCCGTTTTCCTTTAGGGAGAGTGCCCCTATTTTCGCATTTCGACCAGAGACGCCTGCCCGGCCCCAGCTGGCCCCCGGGCCCCCGGGCAATTCCGCCAGGGTGTCATTCTCGAAGAGCAAGGTGGGGGAGAGCTCCCCCCCGGCCAGCGTGCCGGAGAGCAAGTTCATGACCTTCCGCACCCACTCTCGACCCGAAGGTCCAACACAGGGGCTCCATGGGGGGAGGGGGCTGGGGCCCCTCCAAAAGTGGGAGAAGAACTCCCAATATATACACACACATACATATATATGTATATATATGTATATATATGTATATACATATATTCATGAAAAGGATTGACTAATCCTCAGTTCACATTACCTGGAGCCTTGACCCGAAATGGTTCACATCAAAATTTTCTGGAGATTCATGTCCACCAACCACTGAGGTGGTTTCCCATGACAATTCATGGACTTGTTTGGTTGCAATCCCGTAGGGTAGTTCGAGGGTCCACATGCCACTTCTCGGCAAATACCAACTGTTCATAGTTTCAAGCGTTTGGAAAAACCTGGGAAACCCGTGCAAGTACTTTGTCGGGGTTCGACATCATACCCTAAAAGAAAGTCGGGCATCTGGAGCGTGAAGCGGTTGACTTTTGGGGGTTGCAGTCCACCGTTGCGGAGGGGTGCGGCATGCCTCATGTGAAAAACATCGGGCGAGCACCAAATGCTGCCATGGGAAAGGATGCTTGCCCATGCAAAGTCATTGCACCGCAAGCCGGGAAAAGACGAATGGATCCAAGCATTTCCTTTGGTACAGGAGATAGCTGGAGACATCGTCCGACTCGCCATCCTTAAGGAAACGAAGCTCAATTAGTCGCGACTTAGGTACAAACCAATGATTGACGAGGGCCGAATCTGAGTTCAGAAACATGCCCGAAATGCCTTCAAACGTTATGCTGGGATGTTCTATCCAAATATTAAAACGGTGCAAACGGCGGAAGCGGTGCAGAGTGGTAAACGGTGTGCTGTAAACAGTGTAAATGGTGTAAGCTTTGCCAAATGGTGTAAGCTTTGCCAAATGGTGTAAACGGTGTATTTGATGCTAAGGTGTAAACGGTGTGAACACTGCTCCGCTAACGGTATAGGTGTAAACGGTGCAAACCGTGTAAACGATGTGAGCAGCGGAAACCGTGTAAACGGTCTGAGCGGCGCAAACTGTCCTAATGGTGCAGCACGGCAGAGACAACATAAAGAGTGTCAACGGTGGTGACGGGTGTAAACCGTGCAGACGGGGCAGCAGAGTTTTAGTAGACATCGCGATGCACAGAGGACAGGTGCAAAGTGCCACACAAAAAAAGTGTCAGTTGGGGGGGTTACAGAAAACAACACCCTTACAGGGCTTCCTCTAAAGCGGCTTGGGGAAAACGTTTTGCCTCCACTCTCCTCTACCGGGGGGCCCCTCGGGGTGTCCGAGCTCCGATTTCATTCGCTGTCGATCCGAGACGCCCGGGTGAACTCCATCGAGGCCATGTTCAAGTCCATGAAGGCCGTGTGGTAGTCCTCCTCCTTGATGTCCTCCGAACCGAGGCGAGCGCCGTTTTTGCAAACGAGTGTTTTTTTTCTTTTTTCCCCCAAAGCAGAGTCTCAAGTCAGGGTTGCCACTAGACATGCACCTGAGTCACAAGCAAAACCTGGTACAATAATGGCCTACCCAGAACCATGTACAGAATTACCAAGGCGACTGCACCGGTCTGTGGTTGGGATTATCCATTACTAGCCTTCATCTACCCGGGTTTTCATTGTGGCTCACCTTTGTTGATTTATATATATATATATACGCAGGTTTGTTCAACTACAGGGAGAATCGCTCAGCTGTAGATAGTTGCATGTAACCTTGGTCCTTGGTTATGCACTCAACTTCGTGGGACTTCGTAAGTTTGAGTGAAAGGCAGGTCTGTTCCGCGCCTAGATATTGTGCACGCGCTGGACCGTGCTCCTTATCCCCTTGCGTACAAACATTTTGTCCATACCCCGCGACTTTCTCCACCCAAGGAATCCCTCCTAAAAGCAAACCCTGAAATGCATCCAAAACGTGATGTTTAAAACCACACGGGAAAGAAGCGAGATTCCGGTTGCACTGTTGCAAGACCTCCAAAACGTGATGATTGAAACCACCAGCATGGGGGGGAAAGAAAAAAAAAGCAAAAGAAAAAAAAACGAGATTCCCGTTGAATTGTGGACCTCTTCTCGGGACAAACTAAAAGTTGCTGCATTGACTTCGAGGTGCCCTGCCCAGCACCGATGCCACCGCCCCGATGACCTCAGATTGCCGCTCGACCTCAATGCCTCGCTCAAAGTTTCGCGCGTCGAAGCTAAGGCAACCTAAGGCTCTCTTGTCCAATGTGGGGTTCCTTGTGTTTTTGTTCTTTTCTTCTGGCGGGGGGTATCCTGCTTTAGGTTGGTTTCAAGGGAAACTTCAAGAAAAGCAACAATTATTGCAGTGTATTATTTTGACGCAAACTCCAGGGGGTTGGCGTCCTTTTGATTTCCTTCCAACACAGCACCCAAAAACGGGTCCAGCCGATTTCAAATGATCTGGTGATTCTTTCCAAGGGGTCGCATGTGGACGGAGGTACTTTAACTGCAGCAGGATGTCCACTTAAGATAAACAAAACCTCTTCCCAGGTGTGCCAATGGGTTCTCAAAACTAGGGGCCGCTACTCTCTCCACAAGGCGCCTTTTGGCGGACCGGGGTCCAAAAGCGGGCCATTTTTGAACAGGGAGCCATGGGGTCGATGGCATCCGAATAAATCAATATGGAAATCCCAGGTGCTTTTGTTGGCGTGGCTGATGCCATGGACACGCTCCTGCACCAAATTTGGTGTATCCCAGTGCATCTTTCCATGCGTTCAAGAGCAAGCCAATGTGATTTCAAGGGTACCGAGTCTAAATAAAACAAAACACACACTTGTCTCATCCAAGTGATATTGGAGCCGAATGTATGAAAGCAAAAACACCGAACACCCGCAGGCGCATTCTCAGATCTGAGCGCTGCACTGCTGCTTCCTTGGAAACGAAGTGCTTGGCCTCCTGGACTTGGTTCAAACACCTCTCCCGGATCCTCGGCCGAAGGAGACAATGCCGGTCTCCGGTGATACGAAGATAAGCCTCCACTGGGCGAACCTTTTATTGGAGGATACCCCCCGTTTGGTTGATTTTTGAGGAGAACAAGAGGGAAACCACCAAATTTGGAGGCCCTATGAGGCAAATTCTAGGCCCACCAGTACCCTCGGCGAATTTGGGATTGGTCATTCAGCCAAAATATTAGTCTCGTGCAAGGTGATACTGTGGATAGTTTCGACTCAGAGGATGGATGAACCCCAAGTTGATAAGCCAAGTTTTGCCTGGGAGTTTGAATAAGGGTGAACTCCCTGAAATGGGTGGTTGCCTCTTGTTTTCTCAAAGGTTCCCTCCCTCGAAACCTCAGCCGGACTTTGCAGACCCCTCCACACCTATGGTTGGTTTTTCCTCGCACCAAAAGGTCCACCATTTTGAGCTTCGGATTGGCCTCCAACTGTTTGTTAGTCTTAAGGCATGGAGAATCCCCAGCAAACAGCTCCCTGGGGACCAAGAGGTGAGCAAAAAAAACTATAGGAGCCCCTGATGTTGTGGCCAATTCATTGGGTGTGTGTGTGTGTGTGTCAAAGAGGCAACTGGTTGCCTGATTGCCCCCCCCATTAGGGTTTAGGGTTTAGGGTTTGGGGTTTAGGGTTTTTAACACAGTTGGCAGCCTTTTGTTGAGAGTACCCTTTTTGGAGTATCTCAAAAAAGAGCCAAAAGGAAATCCATAAATTTGAGGCTGCGATTTCTATTTTAAGACACCCACAAAGCTTGCACAAATTGGAATTCTGGACACCAAAATAGGTGATCCCTCAAATACAAATACTGACATGTTAAAAAGATAGGATGTCAACCATGTATTCAAAGATGGACCGGTTTTTACCATGCGATGTTCGAGGGTTTCCCAAATGTGCCAACTCAAAAGAGTTGGTATTTCACGTAGGGGATACCGGCAAACAACCCTCATTTTTTTGATTTCCCTCAAAATCGCGGATTTTGAGGTTGAAGGCACACCACACCAAGCAGCGCCCGAAACCCATTGACTTTTCGTTCTTCCAGGATGGTTAGAGGATCATAACAGTTTGTATGGGCCGTATGGTTCACCACTATTGAACCAGAGCGCCTTGTAAATTTGCCGTGGGTTTTGGGCGCAACCCTCTGGATCTCAGCCCAGTGGCTCATACTTCACCGGCTTCCCAGAGCCGGTCATGGGGAAATCGTCCTCTGGCCAGATGTGCACCTAGCCGAGTCGACGCGAGAATAAACTTGGGGTGGAACTGTCGACTGTGATTCCATTTGGCTGTGACTCAAAAAAAGTGGCACTAAAATGGCTTGGTACATGGAACCAAAGACTCAAATCTCCGGTTTACCCTAGCTCTTGAATTGTGAGCCATACCCATTTCTCTGTATAGTAGGCAAGCAAGGGATTAGCTACCGCTGGTTATCTTGTTCAACGGGGATGACGACTTGACCCTCAAACTACCCTTCAACATGAAATATGGGTTTGATTATTTTTGAGGGACGCTGCTTTGGTGCACATTGCACAGCAATTTGTGTCAAAACATGTTTGATGGCATTCCTCATTGAGTTTTACGGCCACATCTCTCTACATAGCGAAGCTTTCTAGCCATTCCCTTTCTGTCTTGAACAACTCCATGAAACTCGGATCCAAAGCAAGAGCGTCAAGCCTTCAAACTGAAAGAACTCAACTCGAAAGCACCAAATGATGTTCAATAGCAAAAACGACTTCAGATACTTCAGACAAACGTCCCCGGAACAGCGGCCGAGCTAAGCCCCCTGCGCCGACTGGAACTTTGTAGGGCGCCAGGCTCTCAGCGCACTTCCTAGGAATCAGCTTCCCTCCTTGCTTGGTGGTTTGGGGCCGGGTGGTTTGGTGGTTTGGTGGTTTGGTGGTTTGGTGGTTTGGTGGTTTGGTGGTTTGGTGGTTGGGGAGCGGCTTCTACCCTCTGCAAGAACCAAGGGTTCAAATCCAAATCCAAGCCACCAATCCAAACCACCGATTGAGAGTAACCTGAACAAAGGAGCCTGCGGGCCAAAAAAAAAGGGGGAAACAAAGGATTGTTCAATCTCCATCATATTCGTCAATGAGTCAAGGGCGAAGATGGAAGATGGCCCCAACGTTAACCCTGCAACCGCCGTGTTGTTTGAAGGTTTGGCTTCAAGAAACGCTTGGGTTTGTTTGGGTTTGTGGTTTGGCCTTTGAGGCTGCTAATTTGTTTGAACGAAACCCAGCGCCTTTCCGTTTGGTTTGCGGTTTAACGGCCCACGAAAGACGCCGTGAACATGTTCCAAGGACCTGGTTGAAAGGACCCATCCCCGTGTGTTTGTGAATGTTGACGAACCGGTGCAACTTCCCCAAAAGTGACTTGCTTTCCGCCTTACCCAGGGGACTGCAAAGGAGGGAGCTCCTTAAAGCGCCCTTTGCGACACTGTGTTCCAGTTCATTGCTTTTGCGTTGCAGCATGTGCTATGGGAGAAAAGGGAAGTGAAGGGATAGGAGGCGATGGCAGGGGATGGCAGGGGATGGGAGGAGAGGAGGGGAGGCGAGAGCGGGGAGTGGAAGCGGGGAGCGGTGTGAAGTTGGAGAGAGGAGCGGGGCGGGATGGGGTGAGAAAGAATGAACATAAAAATCTGAGTGTGAATAACCGCCTCCGCAATTTGTTGGGGTTTTCTTTTGGTTTCCCAGCAACGACAGTGCACAACGACCTGACGCACCCTCCAAACCATGTTCTACGTCCTCAGCCTACTTTGAGGTGATACAGTAGATGTCTGGGCTGCCCTGCTAAAAGTTCAACTTTTAGTGGCTTAAATGGAAATCCCCATTAAACCCCAAACAGCTAAAAAACTAAGGGGACGGCTGGGAGCCACCAAGATGTGTCACCAATCCTTCGGCTTCCAAATGAAAATATGGCTGTGCGTCAAAACCAATGGGATCCCATTTTGGAGTAGGTGCACCAGGTCGGTGAATTCACCACCCATTTTAGTCTACTTTAGTGAAGATTGGGATGTTCACTGGGGGCTTACCGGGGTTTGACCCATGGCCATATCGAAACCGTTTGGCCTGCAGATCTTCTGCTCCATCTCCTCCGCGCTGATCTGGGAGCCAGCCAGGACCACTGCGCAGTGCACCACCTCTCGAGGCTCGAAGCGGACCCCCATTGGCGTGCTCGTCTCTTTTTTGGTCCGGCTTCCCCTTAAAGTGTGAATTCTGTTCGGGGACCCGAAATGGACATCGGAATTCGGGGATTCAGGTCCACCTCCAGAAAATCATGGGCCTTGAAACAGCCAACAAAGACTCTCCAAACAAGCCATCCCGAAGACTCCGGTTAAGCGCAACACGAAAATCCCCACCTCGCCCAGCGCTTCATCTGGCCCGCCAAACCTCGGTTCTACGCGCTCTCGTGTTCTGGCGCTCGCATGTCTCGTGTTTGCCACCCTTTTCCCTTGATTTCAAGGGAAACCAACAGGAAAACCGCCAAAATGCTGGGCCCCACGAGAAGTTTATTCTGACCTTTGCTGCTTTTTCCTTCGCTCTCAACCAATCAAACATATTTTCCCTTCCAGACAACCAATCCAAGATCAAACCGATTCAGATAGGTGTGTCAAAATAGGGACATACCATATTAGGTTCTCAATATTCGCTGCTTTCCTGTTGGTGTCCCTTTAAAGTTCCCCTCCCAAACGATAAAGGAGAACACGAAATAGTGGGAAACTCCCATATGGTGTTGAGTTGGAACTTCGAACCACCTCATAAAGGGGCAGGTAGACATGAAACACCGAATTCTGATGTCGCTGATTGAAGGTTCCCGGTCTTTGGTGGGCTTTTTCAGGGAAGCCAAAAGGAAAGCGTTGCCATTTGGGGGCTCCGATTTTTATTTGGAGACCAACGACTCTTGGGAACTGGAATCTGAGCTCGGTGCACTGCGCACCGGAGAATGCCAGGAACCCTGGCGCCGGGAAAGGCTGGAAGTGACCGAGGGTTCACACAAGGTGAGCCAAACAGAAATGGGTGGTGCCTGTAGGGTAGCCCTGCTCTTGTGTAGGGAAACCAAGAGGAAAACAGACTGTCTTTTTTGAAAGGATCCCCTAAAAGAAGACAGACCCAAATTCTGGTGCCAGAATGGAGTAGACGGGGTTTCTAATCCCCAGGCGAATTTAAACCACCAACAAAGGGTTGCCTGAAATTGGCCCCCATCCTCTTAGAGTTGATGAACAAGGAGAATGGAGTTGACCAACCTCGTGCCTTTCAACGCTGGTTCGGATTTGGATCCTCTCTCAAAATCGGGGACCCGTTAACACAGAACTCTTCAATAGGTCAAATGGGAGGGGCAAAACGATACTTTGTGCAAGCTATTTTGTCCCCGGCGGAATCCATTTTCATTTTGGACACGATTCGCAAAGTGCAACAACAAAAAGAATCAACCAGCTTGACCTTGTCTATGGCGGGCAGCAACTCAAGGGGTACGAATTTCGACAAATCTAAGCTGACCACGCGTAGCGAAGGCCTCTTTTTGTACATGTGTGAACAAGCCCCTCTTGGCAACTTGCCGAATTCGCACCGAAACACCAGGATGTTCAAGTCAAGAGCCTACAAAAAACCAGTTTCGATGGCAGACTTCCCTTGAACTGGGCAAATGAACCAAACCAAAATGGGGTGGAAATGTCTTTACAAGCCACGTTTCCCGCTTGTCACTTTCGGGGGACTATGAAAAGAGGGGATCACCCCACAAAATCGAAGGCAATGTATCAACCATTTCTTGCGGTAGACCTTGGAAGGTTCCGGTGCTGTAGCTTTCGGAACAAAACCCAACTGGCGAGCCTTTTGAATGGTGATTGTCCTTTTGAATTCGAGTTGAGACCATCCCGACAACACAAATTTCCTGAAAGGACATATCCATTTGGATCCTCAGTCGTTTGGGCAAGCTTCCAAGTGCCCCTTTTTCGGGAAGCAACATTGGGGGTCATGTTCCTGCAAAACCACCAAAACAGATTCCCCTGAGAAACGACGCACGCCTCTTTTGTTTTCTTTCGGGACGAAGGGGCTCAATTTTTTTTGAGATTGAGACTCGCGCACCTGTTGATGACCTGCTCCACCTCCACGGAGAAGACGTTCTCGCCGCCCACGATGATCATGTCCTGCGAGGCTTGCGGGGGTTCGAGATTGCCACATGGGAAATACGGGCCCGCGCCGTTTTTCGAGGGCATCATTTGTTGTGCTCGTGCTGCATAAAACAGAAACAAAAAAATGGACACCGTATCACGTTCTCCTTCGACCTGCCGCTGATGAAGAGCTGGCCCTTCTCGTTGAGATACCCCAAGTCCCCGCTCCGGAAGAAGCCACTGGCAGTAAAGGCCTGAATTCGAGCGAATCAATCAGCTGAGGGTTCCGGCGACGTGGGCAAGGTCGGACCTCTCTCTCTCTCTCTGATCTTGTTCGTTCCCGGGTTGTGGCGCGTATTCTGCAGTGTTCTGTGGTTCTTGTGCGGCTTTATACAGCTTTGCGTTGGTTTTCTTTGCCCGGTGTTAGGTTTCAACGGATTCACAGTAAAATAGTGGCAAGGATCCAATTGTGATGACGAAACTGCTTGGGTAACAGCGGTGATCTCACTTGCCGGTTCAATTTCGAGGATACCCTGGATTGGTTTACAGGGACACAAAGGGACGCCAAGCCTTCAGCGGTTCAGATTTTGGGGTTGGCAGGCCCATGGTTTTCCGGCTCCCAAAAGAGTCGGAGGCCCAGGAGTTGGCGGAAGCCGAAAAACAGCGAGGTGAAGGCCAAACACCGAGGGGTGCTTGGACCCAAAAGGTGCGAAACTCTCAAGTATTTCCCCCAGTGACCACTTTTTCGTGTCTGGAACAATGAACACGGAACTTGGCTATCCACGAAAGCTGGCTTTCAGTCTCCTGAATGGGCTGTAACCAGGTTTTATGGCGACCCACGTATTAGGAAGAGGCCCTATTTAACCAGGTGCTTTCTCTTCCAGGAACCTGGGGAGAGACTTGAATTCATCGGGTCGACATCACCAACGACCGCAATTGTTCTCCGAAGCCGGCCTGCTTGTTGGCATCTGGATTGTTGTCGTAGCCCGCAAAGACCGTTGGGCCACGGATACAAATCTCGCCAGCCTGAGGCAAATCTAAACAGACACGCAGACTAGGACTTAAATGCGGAGGCCAAGTTGAAAGGCGGTTGGGGCAGGTTTACTTGCAATTGGCCGGGTTTGCCAAATTCACATACCAGGGTTGGTTGGTTTGCTTGCAATAGGTAAGGTTTGCCAAACTAAAATACCAGGGATGGCAGGTTACTTAAACCTGGTACAGCTTGCCAAGTCAAACACGAGGGCTCACAGATTTCGCAGGGAATCGAGGAAAGTCTGTGCTCTGTCCAAAAGGCCGTGTCTGCAGCTGCTTCCTCATCTCTCTCATCCAGGATGCGCAAATCCAAACCTGAGCAGCTGGATTCGATCTCCGGATTCCTGGGTCACAACACCCACAAAACTGAAAAATGTGGACGCCAAAATCCGTGGACATGAGTGTACTTTCCCGTCCCAGGGAACAAAAAAAACCACTCGCCGCTCTGACATGCTTGGAAACCTCTGGTACCATGGGGAGCCAAAACCGAAACAAAAGAAGGAACCCAGGTTAGTCAAGGGGGTTCGTGTTTTTCTGAACCCCCTGTGAGTAGCAACCGGTAACCCAAAAATCGCGAGCCCGCCTGGAAGAACTGTCATGCCATGCTCGGCTGGTTCCTTCGACTCGTTCTTGAAGCTGCAGTGGACCGTCGCCTAGCCGACAGCACCCGGAAAGAAACAAGAAAAAAACGACGCGCAAAAATGGCTGGAACTGCCCCCTGTTCTCAAGCTGAAACCCTTTTTTGAGCAACTGCACTGCACATGTGGCAATACCATCCCCACCCCTCGCCCTGGAAGCCGGGAGGACCACAGCAAGACGTGCCTCGGTCATGCCGTAGCCTTGGATGAACTCGCATCCAAAGACCTGCAAAAGGATCCCGGGCGAGCCACTCTGGGAGGTACTCCAAATACCCCGCACTTCTTGCTACGGGCTCGGCATGTATTTGGCCGTGGCGGACTTGCACGTGTCGGACCTTCCGCACTCAACCCCCTTTTTTCACGGGAAGCCCTCAACCCCACTAAGATGAACATCGAAAAGCACAAACCTGAGCTGGGTGCAAACAATTCAGCATCAAAATAAGGGGGAACGCGTGCGTTTGCCTGACAAAAGGAAGTAACAATGTGCTTGAAGAGGGGGTGGCCAGATCTCGTCACCTCAAACCAAGCTCTGCACTCAGCCCAGCTTCGTGATTCCCCCAAACGCAGTTGGATTCCCAAAGCGTGGCTACTTCTCATTTGGCTGCGTGGATTCCTCAAAGCGTAGATGCTCATCTTTCGGTTGCGCGCTTCCCTAAACATGGGTGGATCCCAAAATGTGGGTGAATTTCTCATTTGTCTGCGGGATGATGCCTGATTTCTGAAAATGCAGGCACACATGTATCACAGCCTCCTGCCGCCGATTACATGCTGCTGAAAGACCCGTCCAAGTTTGTCTGCAACAGGTCCAAGATGTCACGAAACTCTCTGAAACATCAAAACCCCCTACTTAGATGTTGTCCCCAGAAACTTGGGAAATGGTGGCCTTGCCCCTTTTGTGGGAAGTGTGAGTCCCAAATGAACCATCAAAACCGAGAGGCATGGACCTCTAACCCAAACCCCCTTTGAGAGAAATGGACCCAAAACCGAGATCGAAACGGCAACCAAAAGGAAATGGATCCAACCGAGAGGAACTGGACCCGAAACCCGGACCAAAACAGCGACCAAACGAAACTGGAGATCAAAAACGAAACGGAGAGGAAATGGGCCCACACTGAAAGGCACTGGACCCGAAACCGAGCCTCCACCAAAACCAAAACTAACTTGACCTGCCACGCTCGCTTCAATTGCCCAGCTTTACCCCCGCGCACGAATGGAACTGGACCCAAAACCGAGATCAAAACCGAAACCGAGAAGACGTGGACCCAAACCGAAACCTAGAGGAGATCCCGGGCTACGCCCGGAGCGACCTCTTTTGTCTGTTCGATGACATCCAGAGTGGGCTTCATTCCTCCGGTCAGAACCTGCCAAGGCGAGTGCGGCTTCCATGGGATTCCGAACCCCGCCCCAATGTGAAAATTGCCTGGGAATATGCCTGGAAACTGCCCCCAAACACAAGGTGTCCAACTAAAGAATCAACCGTTCCCACCTTTTCGTGGGGTACACGTATTGAAAAACCTGCTTTGTCCAAGGTAAACTTAAATACTAAACCTTCGCCAGTCTGGGGTTGATATGATACCCGTGAAACCCTCGGTATTCGGAGGGTTACCAGGTGTGGATTCCAAAGCTCAAAGGCAGCCACAAAAGGCTTCAGACAGGTCGTGCCGTGGAAATCAGTCTGACAGAAGGGCGCGATGGGACATGTGTGTGTTGCGTTTGGCAGCCAAAAATACTGAAGATACACTACTTTTCGGCATTTGTCGCTTGCTTGTCGCTAAAACAGTCCGAATGGGCACTCCTCGTAGCAAACAAGCAGGATCTCAAAATGCCGAAACGCTAGAAAGTGTATCAAGAACTATTAATGTATGTTTCCCCTGGATCGAAGACTCCTCAGAAAACTGTTCAGAGATTCAGGAAGATTGAAGATTACGCTATTCAGAGATTCAAATCTTCAATCCTGGTCAGCCCCCCCAAGCCTCAAAGAATGGTTTACTGTGGATCGAAGATCGCTGATTGACGATTCCACGGACAAAGCTTCAAAAGTGTCGATCTGCAAAGGAAAAAGTGGGTCTTCTGGTAAACGTCAGCAAGTTGTTGGGGCTGGCCAGGGATGAAGAGTATCTGCAAAGCGTTGTCAATCTTCAATCTGAAATCCAAAGGAAAAACGCATTAAATACTTTTTTGAAAACTGACGTTTTGCGGGGGGGAGGGGGGGGCTTTGGCGGCTGGTCCGGGTTGAAGACTCTCCAGGTAAAGGGAAATAGCACGTGCTGGTTCTCAGGGGAACTGCCCCTACGAACATCCCTAGTTTCCTTTGAGAGGATCCAATGGTTCATTCTCGCAACCCCTCTTGATTCCATACTGAGAACCAGCAAGATAAACTCGGTTTTGTTGAAGGCTTTGTGAGGAAGGGGTGTTAAGACTTTTACATGCTTCTCCTTGAACAATTATGGTCCAAATGGCATGTTGAGGGAATCTGACCCAAAATAGTGACCTTCCTTTTGGTTTCCCTGAGAAAGACAACCCCAAACAGGCTCCCTCAAAAGGAGACACCCATGTGATGCCTCGAAATGGAGCCCCTGTTGGTTGGTTCAGAGAGTCTTCCTCGTATTATGCAGACGTGTTCTTGCATTATATAGAAAAAGAAAGACGTGTCAGAGATTCGTGAATCTCCAATCTTAGATTGAAAGGAGAAACACTCTAAAAGGTTAGGGGTAAACTTAGAAAGCTACGTATGTTCAGCTGCCCAAACTTGAAGAATTTGTGAACAGCTCAAATGTTCAATCTTATATCAAAAAGGAACTGTGGAATTTGAGAAACCTGCGACCCACGAAGCTGGACCCTTGCGGGCTGAGGCAGGAAGAACTTCTGAAAAGCTCTGAGAAATCTTCAGTCTTCGAGCCAAAAACAAACAACGTTAAGCAGCTAACGTCTTTTGAAGAACAACAAGTTGGTTGAGGTTTGAGGGGGTGGAAAGTATATCTTCTAATGATGCGCCTTGAAAAGCCGCACTTTGCAATGTGGCTGCATGTCATGCCGAACTTCCCAGCGGCAACCCCACCAACAAAAGAACTACACTCATCCACTGGTCCCGTTGGCCACCATGGAGCTCGACTAAATCAGCTGGTAATGTTCCAACTTTTCCTCCGCCTCCCGCTACGCCCGCTCTCCTCGACTCCCCAACTCCCTCTGACTCTCTCCCTCTCTGTCTCTCTCACTCACTCACTCACTCACTCACTCGCTCGCTCGCTCGCTCGCTCGCTTGCTCACTCACCCACCAGAGCGCACCCACTTGAGTTTTTCGAACTTCATGCTGCGGGTCTTCTCGGCGCTGAGCAAGTACTTCAGAATGGTCGGCATCAGCTTTACGATGGTCACCTCGGAAAAGCCGAAAACAAAACCAAAAAGAAAAAGCCCAGGTGCAGCCTCACCAGTAACATCCGGAACCCTCCAGAACCCTCCCTGGAAGCTGCTCCCAACCATCCTAGAGCTTATATGAGCAGAGAATCCGAAGCGTCCAGCTGTTTCGTGGAGAAAAAACGGGGGGGACAATCAGACGACTGTCCGAGCAACAGGTCCCACTAAACTTGCTGGCTTTTTGGGCAAACCAACTTCTGGAGCGTTTTTCAATACTTACAGAACAGCAGCAACGACGTCAAAGCAACCTGGCCTTATCGTCGTTCATCATTTGCGCCACATCCATGAACTGAAACTGATTCCTCGCCACTGGAAAGGAGCAAGCAACAAACCCAGAGAGCGCGGCGAAATGTGACAGGCACGTGAGTGCATGACACTAGTTGGGCTGCCAGGGCACTCGTGAAACACCTGACGAGCTCCCAGCATCACCTCAGCTCGACGACAAATGAGACAAATGGGATGCATCGCAACATCCACAAGCAGAAATCGCCAAGCCGCAGAAATCCAAATGAAGGCCGGCGTTCCACAGTGAAAAAGTGGCCCGAAGTGACCCCAGCAGTCATCATTGTCGTGCTGGAGGTTCAGAGCCTTGATCGTACCTGCCAGCTCCACCGAGACACCCCTCCCCCTTTTCTCTCTCTCAAAAAGCCAAGCAGCTGAGGCTGTGATGGTACACGTTCCTAGGCGAAGGCCAACCCATGGGAATTTGGTCGCAGTGTTGCTTGCACCAAGGCACTTGTGCGTGTGAGAGACGCTCTTCGGAACACCAGTGGTGCCGGACGTAAAGAAGCCCTGCACCCACATGTCCTGGAAACAACGGGGTCAAATGGACCAATATACATACATATATATATATATATATGCAGACCACCCCCCCCCCCGATGGATCTACCTTTTTGCTGTTTGAAGCCTATTTTGGAGATGGAACGCAGTTGTTTATTTGGAATGCCCCATGCGACTTGACAGCATCAGCTCACGCGAGGCAAGGAAATCCTTTTCAAAAACCTAGTTTGGAATAACTATTCCAGTTCTGTGCTTTTTGAATCCTATTTAGTTTATCCTTAAAGTTAGAAACTCTACTAGAATTATGTCCTTATTAAATTCCAGTTAATTCAAAATAGACGTGAAAAAAATGCGAAAGGACGGTCTCTTTAAGATACATTTTGAAATAATAATCCCAATTAACAATGTTCTTCGAAAATGTTCAAAGCGTCTTTAAGTCTAGACATTATTTTACATGTTGTTCACTTTTAGTTGCTATGTAAATTCTAATTATCCAACAATCATCAAATGCATAATGTTGAACCTCTATTTATTTTTGTTGAAACAAACCGTCTTTTAAAAAGCCTATCTAGATTCTGGTTAAAACTAGAAATTCTACTAGAATTACGTCCTTATTAGATTCTATTCAACATATGCCAACAAATCAACCCGTTTGAACATCTAGTCTCAAATAAGTATTTTGGTTACACATCTTGTTCGACAAGGACATCCTATCTAAATTATCGTTAAACTAGAAACCCTACTAGCTTGTTCCATATTAAACTCCAATTCAAATCTAAAAAGAAAATTGAACAAGCACAATCCTAGAAAGCGATCCCCCTTTAAAGCCGTCTTTCAAATCTATGTTAAAACAAGAATTCTAACTGATTCTGTGATTGGTTAATCCTTATCGAATAATTTGAAGTCCCAGCAAAAAAACGATTTAAAAAAAAATAAAAATAAAAAAATGTTGTTTTGGAAAAAAAAAAAAAAAAAAAAAAAAACATGTGTCCAATGAAATTCATCTACGAGAAATACGTCCAATTCCTATACACGTGAGTCAATAAAACACCCTAATCCTGTCAATTCTAAGCCGAGGTTTGGTCGGAAGATCCAAAACAGCAGCTATGTTGGAGCCAATGGCCCCAAAAGTGAAAACGCAAAAGTGAAATTATGGAGCCAATGCCCAAGAGTAAAAGCATAAAGTTCTGGGCCAATGACCCAAAAACAAAAATAAAAAATAAAAGAAGGAAAAAAAGTCGAAACATGTAAAACAAACCAGCCCCAGGCCCTGAAGTAAAATCCATGGGCTGAAATATTGTACTTGTTTACTTTGTTACTTTTGGGCCATTGGCTCCAGAACTTTACTTTCATATTATATTTGATTTTTTTGTTTGCGTCATTGACTACATGATTTTATGTCTTTACGTTTTCACTTTTGCGCCAATGGCTCCAACATAGCTGTTGTTTTGCATCGAAATAGGACAGAGGTAGGTCCAAACCGACTGGATTCAAGATTCACTAAAACAGTTGGGCCTAAAGCTTTCAGATTGTCTTTGGACATGCGCCTCTTTTTGCTGCTTTTCCCAAAGCCCAAAAAAAATGCAGAAAACACTGCACATACCAGTGAAATCTGAAGGAAGGTAGATTTATTGGGGGGGGTACCATATACATATATGTTGACATAGAGATGGCGTTTAAGTATTGCCATTTGCTGGTGGATTCCATTGAAACTGCCACTATTGGAGGTCTCGAAAAGGGAAACTGAGGAACCCCGCGGCGAAGCAGAGCATGTTCGGCTCGAAAGCTCTCCGGTCCTCCTGGAATGGAGGAGCCTTGAAGCTTCCGTCCCCCCCATAGAGGTCCCTCAGGGACATTTGCTCTATGTGGGGGTCGCGAAAGTCCTCAGGGATGAGGTTCCTTGGATGCGTCCAAAAGCAGCTTCAGGTGCTGCGCCAGTTTTGGCCGTGCGCCCGTTTTCTTGGATGCGGCACTTTTCTTCGCAAATGGCCTGTTTTGGGGGGAAGGATGAAGTGTTGCCGAGATGCACCCAAGCAATCGCGCGGACCTTGACAGTGGCCCACTCCACCTACACGCTGGCACAGCTGGCCGTCTGAGCCCAGACAAAAACAAGGACACGGGCCTTGGACAAAAGACTCGCAAAGGTGTCGCTGGCGATGAGAAGGGGGCTGTGCCCTCGTTCAAAGAGAACTTGTAACCTCGGCTTGGCAGCTGGTGAGACAGTGAGACTTGGAGCCCTGTCAAGCCCTCGAACCTCTGAATTGCTGATCTGAGAGGCTCTTCAATCTTCAGGCGGTGATTCACACAGACAACTTTTGCTCGAACGGCTGCTGCTGCAAAGAATAGATCCTCACGGCACATTAACCCTGGCTCAAGCTGGATGGGTCTTTTTCTCTTGAGGGGAACCCGGAAACAAAAGGAAAGCACCCATGTTTCGTCGAACATGTCGAAAGAGACAAACATTCAATAGCTCTGAGGATCCACATGCGTGGAGCAGTTCGGCAGCAGCAGCTTGAAGCTGAGGGCGCCTTTCTCGTGGGCCTTCGGGACGCTTTCGATGCGAAAGGCGTCGGCTCCGGGAAACCTGGTGTCCAATGGAAGTTGGATCCCATTTGCCAGAAAAGGTGGCTCAGTTTGCCGGAGTCGCTTGGTTCTTTGCCAGAGGTCTGTGAAACTTGAACGGCTCATAGATGGCTGTGAGGTTCTCAAGACCCTTTACCAACCGCAAAGTAGCCCGGATTCCATCCAAAGCCTTCTGTGGGGCTTTCAAGCCACGCAGCAAAAGCGGCTTTGGGTTGCGCCTGCAGCACTCGCAACAAAGACGCGCTCAGACACCTCACCTGGCGCGTCTTTCCGAACTGGGGATTCAGCTTCCCGCCCTGATTTCCTTTCGGTTTTCCGTGGGGAAGGCCCCGCCAAGAGCGGGAATTGGAACCCTGAGAAAATGATTGCGAGAGAGCTCTCCCAAATGACATCCAGTGTCAGTGTCCAATCACTGAAAACCTAGGATGCATCAATCGCTGGCTGGCCAACTTGCCCATGAATAAAATATCAAAGTCACACGAGAAGGTCAAAAAGAAACACCCCCTGACTTTGAAACACTCAGTTTGACTCCAGTCTAATTGACGCAACTGGGGCACTTCGTGGAGAAAAGAGTCTTCTAACATCAAACATGGTTGTCATGGCCTGGTTCTCACAACCTTTGGGAAACAACAGTCAAGACAATCACCCTGTTGTTTCATTGCTTTGAATATGCAATGCTGCAAAGGGATAGCTCATTACCCCTTCCTAGGAACTCCATCTTGTTAGCCATTCAGCCAAACGGCAGCAAAGGCAGTTGAAATCGCGCGCCTTCTGGAGAACTTCGCCATATGTGACGGGGCCCGTGCTATCCGCGTATGCCACATTCTTGGCCTCGCACGACACAAAAAAACTCGAGCGGAAAGGAAAAGGTGTCTTTTTTAGGGGACCCCTACATGGTCGGTTTTTGTGTTGGTGCTCCTTGGAAACCACCCAAAAGGGGGACCTCAAAATGGATACACCCATACAGGCTTTACACCTCAATCGAGCGGCATATTTTGTGCAGCTCTCGCACACCACATTCCAGAGGTCGCTCTTGGGCCTGGCACTGCGCAGCTGTACACAGGGTGTGTCTCAAACTGTGAAAAAACCGAACGGTGGAAAGCCAAAATGTGATACCGTCTTCTATGCATATATATATATGCATATATATATACACATATATATATATACATATTTATAGACGGGTCAGTCTCTAGCTTCGACAAATTGCATCCTCCAAACAACACCTCCATGTGCAGTTTGTGAACATGTGCCGGTCAGGTAGACAAATCGAGGTAGAGGCACCTATATTCCCTTGTGCTATCCCTGTCCTGTCATCTTTTGTCCATTCCGTTGCACTTCGCAAACCGAAGAATGTATTCATGGACCTGAGCACAGCATCTTCAGCTGCAAAAACGAAAAAAGCCCCCAGTCGCAATCCGCAGACGACACCAAAGACTTGTTCACCGAATGGTCAAGGCTGACATGACATTAACTAGTTGTGACTCAAATCTGAAAGCTGGGAGGTTGCATTTGCTGCCAAGTGGCAAACCTCGGCAGCCTCTTTCACTGCCGAAGTACGGGAACCATCTCAAACGGCTGCCGTGCCACTTGCCCTTCAAAGTGTTCAACTCCAAGCGTCGGACCTAAACCTTTGACCGCCCTGGCCAAGTGGTTCTCTAAAGCACTGGGCACGGGTCTTGGGCGGAAAGACAATCTAAAACTTAACAACGATTGTCCGTGAGATCTGGACTGGTGGCCATGCTTCAAAATACGGGCTCCGGGTTTGTCAAAACGGGATTCTTAAGAGCCCTTGCATGGTAAAGGGGTCCGCCGCAGCACATGTCTGATTCCTTTCGTCAACATGTTGCCAGTCAGGTGACTGGCTTGTAAAACAAAAAAAAAATGCGCGTCAGTTAGAAAAGGAAAGAAAACAGTCTATGAGTCCACTAAGCAAAAATATAGGGGCCTCTCAAATTTATCACATGTCCACTGCACACATTGCAATAGTTTAACCATGGTGCATCTGGTTGTTACGTTGTCATAGTTAAGTACTTGCCTAAATCTACTTGCAAATACATCTACCGAAAGCACAACCCGGCTAAACTTGCCGATGTTGCCACCTCTTTGAAAGTCCGACAGCAACACTTGCGGGAGCTTCGAGTCTGGTGGCTCAAAGTGCCTCGCCTGCAAAATGCGATGTGCGAAGAGATGTACGAGAGGATTTGTGAAAAGAGCAGATGCGTGGATCAAACATGACCCTGCATGGTTGCCTGGTGTTGAAAAGGTCTGGTGTGCGACCAGTTGCTGCACAGAACTTGAGATTCCGCAAATGCCAGGAGTAGCGCTAAAGAACGAACACGAGGGGCTATTGCATACAAACGGAAGGGAGTCGCTGGTGCCCTTGAGATGCACAACCACTCAACTAGACAAATGAACACAAGGTGGCAACCTCAAGCCGGCGCACCATCCACATACACAACGCACCTCAGCAATAAAGTGCTGTTGGCAGAGCAAAACTTAACATGGTCTGAGCGTCGGTTTGTGAGATTTGATAGGGCGGAGAAGCGTGGGCAGATTTCACCCTCGTGTGAAACAATGTTCCACGGAGTGAAGCAACCCTGTTTCATCTTCGCACGGCGGTGCCAGGGTTAACGCAGCGGCTGAACTAGCATTTGATTAACTAACGAAGCACAGCAGTGCAAAGTTTCAACCTCAGTGATGGCACAAGGGTGCCTATCATGACAAAAGTCATGACTGGAGTGGGGAGCCTCCGCCCCAAAAACCTTTCTTGGCTAAGCGCGGCCTATCAAACAAAGGTTATCCGAACCGACAACGGCGGTTAGCAAGATTCACCCAAGCCCAGAACACAAGGGAAAAGAACCCTAGTGTTAGATGCTACGGGCACTCACCGCAAACCACGAAAGAAGCCTATTGCTGCCAAGTGCACCACGAAGCAAACCTCCAATCAACCCAACGTGCCACAACCCAACGCCAATACTGCATTCCGCAAGAATCAGCAGCCAACACGAACAAATCAGTCGGCAGACGTGCCTGATGCCATTGTCACTGATCCGGCTCCCTGCCCGTGAGGTCAGACACGACACGCCTCTTGACAACTGCAAGCGCACGGATGGCAATCAAGAGGCTCTCCTCACATTGCCATCCTTGAGAACACAGGTGGCTCGGCTTTTCGACTCTGACACCATCAGTCCAGGCAAGAAAACGATTGTCTTTTAGCAATTTCTGTGAGTTTGAGGAACCTATGCCTTTCTTCCCATGCTGCCTGATGCATAATCGCCGGTCAGCGTAAAGTACACAACGGGAAAAGAAGCCTATGGCTTGGGGGGAGCCAGAACATGCAAGACCAGGTGCAAGTGCCGACGGAAAAACTGCTCAGCAGCAGTCCGAAAGCCGTTCCCACATGTCATCCTACCAAAAATCATCGACCCATGCGTGCCCAGGAGGGCAGCATAGGAAACACACGTGAAAAGCAATGCACCAACCAAAAATGAAAGAAGGCATAAAAAGATGGAGGTGTACAAAGCCCAATAGGAGGACTCGCCAAGACAGGACTCGCCAAGACAATCTGCCAGCCAGTTCCGACACCCGTCGGTGAGCAAACCCACGGTACTTGCTACAAACGATCAACACTTCTGCCCCGCTGCGGCGGCGGCCAAAAGGCGGTGTATCTACGCGGCCTGAGGCAAAGCAGCTCCCAGAAATTCCGCAAAAGGAAAAACCTCGGTATTGCACCCAAGATCCACCCACCAACCAAATGTCAGAAGAATATGGCAGCGCACCAATGTGCCAAGAAAAAAAGAAGAAAAAAACAGCTACACATATGATTGTGCAGTACGCCAGAGGTGGTTGCATATAGAACTCCACAAGCTGCTACCGGAGTCCATGAGAAGGATGGCCGTGTGATTGGAGAAAATATCAAATCTGTTAACCGCAACTGTCCGCCAGTAAGAATAAGGGAATGTGGGGTCAATGCCGTCGGTCGCCTGATTCAAGAAACAGAGCATGACATGACCAAGGGCCACAAAAAAAAAAAAATGCCAAAGAAGGTCAGGACTTGAAAGGGGATGCAAGAATACACTCCTCCGGATCAAGCTCATGCGCGCGTAACACTGCACTAACTTCAGACACGTCGGCGGTGACCACTCTGGCATGTCCGACATACCGCCGCGAGCCCAGGAAATGGATCGGGCGATGGCCGAGATTGGGAGCTGTGTTCACGACTGATCCAGTGATCTTCTGGGGCACTTCTGAAAAGGCAGCGTGATTAAAATCCACTGGGCTGACAGGCGAACGCTGAGCTCACGCTCAAACACTACAAGGGGCAGCACGGGCCTTGTTCCTGAACTCGATTTTAAAGCACGCTCCGAAAGTCGATCGGGTTGGAAATTGGCAAGCGAGTCCCCAGGTACAAAGGAGTCTGCATTTGCATCCAGAGATGCAATTCATGACGAAAGCGTGTGGCCAGTCTGCGCACACTGGCGGATCCTGTTAAGACAAGGGTGTTGGCTCGCCAAATGGTGAGAGTTACGGTGCATAAAAAACGGAAAATTTAAAAGTATTATATTCACAAATGACAATAACAGCTGATGATGTTTCTTCTGTAATGTGTGTATACTTGTATATAGTCAATTATATATATATACAGGTGTGACCAATAATTCTATCATTTTGGATAAATTAACTTCAAATGTAAATATTGAAATTTACTTGAATATTTGAGTATAACAAAATACAAAGTAATTAGATTGTACCGATGAAAAATGCATTTTTATTTTACTCAAAAAGAATAGAAGAATAAAATGTGGATTGGTAACATCTGTAGAATGAACTATTACAATACTTATAACTCTTGATGTACGCTTCATAAATAGTAGTGAAAAATATTTATTTTTAATAAAATTGAAATATATTTCTTATACATTGAAAAATAATACAATTGTCAAGTTGAAGAGGAAATAGAAAAACAGTTTGTTTGATTATGTATACTTTTGTTTCCTTTGTGTAGTCAACAAAGCTATCATAATTGATTTATTTTTCGATGGTATTGATTTAGTTGACATATTCTTTGAAAACAAATATGTTGATCATATAATGTTTTGTATTGGTATTGGTTGTATAAGTTGAATAACTATGAAAATAAAATTCCATTTGTTTTTTGTTTTTTTTTTGTTTTTTTATCTGCATATTTAAGTATTGTGTAAGTTAATTAGGTAACTACTTAACACAATATGAAAATAGAAAGATGAAAATTGTTGAGTTCAATTTATAATAATGCTACATATTAAGATTGAAAACTATGAATATTGTTTTAAAATACATATATGTAAAACTGTATGGTCGAGACTGACTTTGTTGAATTGGCAATATTGAGCATGGTTATATTCATGTATGGTTGTACTCGCTGGTTTAACAGAGTAGAATGATATCGTTTGTTGGGGGGGGTGTTGAATACTTTTTACAACTGAGCTACTATAGATAATTTTTACTTCATATAAATGTACTAAGTTCAATGTTTGATTTGTTTGGATGAACAAAAAAATGTAAAAATCATGGAATTATCTTGTTGTTAATGGAAGTTAACTGTCATCTTTACACTCGTGTTTGTTTCACAATTGTAGTAATTATAAGACACATTCTACTTCAAAGGTTTTTCAAAATTGAATTAAATTACATTTGTTAAGCACAACTCGTTTATGTGTATAAAATAGAAACGTATTTCTGTTGTTATACGTTTACTGCAAAAATGTTCTGGTTTAAAAATAAAGAATTAACAGAAAAGCGACATGCAATAAAGGCTATGAAACCTGACCTCAGATCAAAATCGAATATTAGAAAACAAATATTAAGTTTAAAAGTAACAGGAACCGTTAAAGTTATGAAAAGGTTCATTAGTGTCAATAATGAAGTATGGTATCGTTAAGTTTTTATTCAATTAGTATTCATCAACAAGTTGAAAAATGGTTAATAGTTCTGACAAAATTGGGACTTGATACTCCACGTTTGCGTTTGCTCTTTAATGGTGCAAACGCTACGCAAATTCTGCCCTAAGCCGTGCAAAAACAGATAAACCGAAATCTTCTTCTGAAAAAACATGCGATTAGATCTTTCGTTTTGCAGAAAATGCCGGCCACGACCTATGGCCATGACGCACAGATAGCTTTCCAAGGTAGCTTTGACATATAGATAGATAGATAGCTTTGAAATCAGGAGAGCCAGGTGATGGCCAGACGCAGAGAACATTGGCGCTGTGGGGCTTCCGGACATCGGTCGCGACGCCTGCACAGGGGCGGTCTCGGAACGGTCTCGAACGGTCCCGGACGGGTTCGGAGATGTGACCCGCAGGCGCAGCACTTTCGCAAGGTCGAGCACAGATTTCGTAGCAGGTGCAGCACTTTCGTAAGGTGCTGCATCCACTCTGCATGCAGAAACGTTGCAGTGCGCAAACCTCGGTGTTTCCCCAAAAGGACAGGTTTCGTGGCAGGCGCAGCACTTTCGCAAGGTCAAGTGCAAAATCCGCGGCAGGTGCGCCACTTTCGCAAGGTCAAGTATAGGTTTCGTGGCAGGCGCAGCACTTTCG